TTTATGCAAGTTAATGTTCGACATAGGTCACACAGGTCGTCATTGTCCCAGCTTAACCAGCAATGCTGTCAGTTTTCTGTTCATTAACCTTCGGGGTGCACTGCCCTTGGGAAAAAGCAGTTTTTTGGAGCAGTATCAACGGCTGCGCAAGTGCGAGAGGGTAGTGGATGTTCTTAATGTAATAGATGGCAAGGCACATCACGAGTGCTTTCTCCAGTGTGCAGGGATCACTCAGTGGAACAAGTTCTGGTTTTCCGCCGTAAATCACAATCTTCTCAGCTGCTCCGTATATGTGAGGGACAGACAAAGTGGGTTTCTCTGGCCTCTGTGCCTGCGGTGTGAACAGACAAAAAAGAAATTAACTCACCAAGCTTGGGGAATTCCTGCATATCGTTGGTGTGCTGAAGGTTTATCAATATTGGTCTGACAACATATGTGTATTCTGTCTCACGTTAAAAGTAATACAAGGGGACATTGTCTGGCTCTATGTGATAAATGTTTCGAACTCACTATTTTGCCAAATTAAGGGGTTCTGTACACATTGGTCTCAGTGTTGATTAAGATACCACGGAATATATTCGCCCCTTTATGCAGCATGCTTTTGGTTTAATTCGTCTTCTTTGAAAAGTGGAAAAATTAAATTGTAGTCCCATGAACTACGACAGGTGAACATAAAGTACACAGCGTCATTTCACTACTTTTAAAAATAGAACATTTAAAGCGTGCTCTTAAGTGTAGCTTTGTAAAACCCGGGAGGCATTCACTTGATCGAACGACGTTTTGGCGAATGAAAACAAAACCACGACGTTTCATCGTATGACGCTGGGAAGGGGGGGGGGGGGGGGGGGGGGGGGTTAGTGAATGAAAATAATAAATATAATATTAATAATAAATTTTTATTTCCATCGATGGTGATGGTGGGACCCGTGGAAAAAACCTGCGATATGCAGCTTGACTAATCCTCGGGTCCCTACAATGGTCAGCAGCAACAAAACGAAAACAAAAATAAAAAAATAAAAAATAAAAAAGATACACACAAAAAGTAACAATAGAAAGATACATAACTACGCACTTGCCTGCTTTTTGAAGCAAATAGACAAACACAAAAGGCAACAATTAAAATTTACAAAACTATGCACTCTTGCCTATTAATGGAGCAAAATAAAACAGAAAATTGAAATCAGGTACAAATCAGGAGCAAAAATACAAACGCAATTCTTTAGAAGTTTTAGAGTCAAAATCTACACCATCATTATAAAAATTATTTAGCAAGCGTGGCAGGGCAAATTTAAGCATTTGGAAACCATAGTTCGTTCGCTGAGTGACCATCTTCCACTTCTCCGCGCCGCGAGTGGGGTATGCTGGTGAATTTTCCTGTAAATCTGCAAGGATTTCTAAAAAACATGAGCCCCTTATTTTTTCCCTCCTGAAACTAGCACATAGCCTATAATCGTATAACTTGTAAATTGTAATTATCTAAAAAATTTTAAATATTTCAGAAGTGTGAGCATCATATTAGCGAATCGGTCTACTTACAATCATCGACAGCTCGGATTAGCTTATGTACCGCCTTGTCTGCCGCCATGAAGCGGCGCGGACGAGTGGTCAATAGATAATACGCGCTTAGTGATACACGCGAGACGAAACGTCTCTACAACGTGACGCCGTCTACGAACAGGAGTAAGCGGTTGCATCAACAACTCAATTTTTTTTTCAAGAATTCCTTTTGTATGTTGTTGCGAAGCGGCGTAAACGGGTTTTTCGCATGGGTTAACGTGCGTCTCAATGACACATGCGCGACGAAACGTCCCTACAGCGTGCCGCCACCTACAAATAGCCTATTCGCTAACCGTCATTTGCGAAAACGTCTATTCGCTCAATTGATTCCTATTCGCTAAAGTGTCATTCGCTAAAACGTCATTTGCTGATATGATATGGATCCCTGGTAAATAACAGCTTACGCAATCGAAGGAAACATAGCAAACAGAACCAACCGCCAACAGAAGGTTTCGCGCTCTAGTCAAACAAAAGGCTAAACCTGTGACATATGCGCGTATGTTCTTGCGGTTGGGAATGGCGATCGACACACTCTTCAAATATAGCCTTGCCAATCGCGTTTGGAAGGAGACCATCCGCCTACCGAAAATCCCCAGGCGCCCATGCGTTGAAGGTGTGTGCTGACAATACCCGCATTTCAACTGCGGGGCACTGGTAGTGAGGGAGGCGGATTCTACAAGGTAGCCAGAACACTCGCAGCCTTCTTCTTTGCACCGTCGTCTTACGATCTCAAATAAGTCTCTCTTCGTCAAAGCCGCCATGGCGACCTGAATAAACGCGAAGCATGAAGCTGTGATGCAGATTCAATTCTGCGTCGAGTATAACATCATTCTCACCAGCCAAGCGTCAAGCATACCTTGTGAAGATTTGGCGTCTTAGCGTAATCCAGATGAAACAGCAGCGACGAGTTCCGAAACAAAATAATCCGGCGCAGCCGCGCGCGGTCATAACGGCAATTCCTTCAAAACCGAAGCGTCGGCGGCGAAGGCAGTGAAGGCGCCAAGGAGTCTGGTCACTAGAGGTTACGTCTCTATAGTTTCGGAATTTGTTGAACTAGAAAGTTGGGTTCTGCCTCCTCTCTCGCTCGTGTGGTCCCCTAGCTCACTCCCCCTCTCCCTTTTCAAGTTCTCTTTTTGAGAGGAAAGAAAAATAAACAATCGCGCCAATCGTGTACAGGTTACCCGTTATTGTCCAACGTTACATCTTAGAGGTTACAACACAAGAGTCACAGCGTAACTTCTAAATATGGTTGTAGACAAAAAAAGAAATCGCCGTTTAAACTTCTAATGCAACGGAAAATGTATGAAACCTTTAAGAGCGACGCCTGTAACTTCCAAAATAAAAGTTTCATTCGTCTATAGGTAGCCATAGAGGGTACGCCGTTAAGAGTGTACAGGTCAGTCCCAGACACGAAGCTTTGAGGCTCTTTGGCGCGGGCCGCGGCGCCCGAACACACGTGTGCTTGGCTGCCCACGTCTGTTTTTTCGTCCTTCTTTCCTCAGGCGCTTAAAAGCCGATTTTGTAAGCTACGACACTAATTTACCACATCTAGGTGGTAAATCTAATTTGTAAAAATACAAAAAAAAACTTGTCGGACTCAAAAACAGAAAAAGACGAAACATCTATAAGCAGACATTTCCTTCTCAAAGCTAGCAAAAGTTTTTGTGGGTGATAGAGGAAAACAGAGAATGTTAGCAAGGTCAGAAGAACACGTCCTTTCCCTTCCGCATTCCCACCCTCACCCACAATGACACTTTTTTTATTGGAATACATAGGATTTTAAAAGTCTTCCTCCGTTACTTTTACTGAGGCAAGTGTTTTTTTTTTCTTTTTTGGCATTGTTAAATCTTATATTTACCACCAGCCAAACTTGGGTAAATTGGAGTGTTATAACTTACAAATCGGAATTTTTGCGATTTGTTTAACCGCAAGCTCAGTGTTAAATAATACTGCTGCATAACGTGTTTGACCGCTCGTGCTAGAACAGCGGGCGGACGGTGGGCAACGGACGACGGCACGGCATCCTGTTTAAGCCTCGAGCCCTTTGCTGACAAGCCACAAGCAACCAACACTTGTAGGTGGCGTTCGTAACTCTCCGGCGAAAAAAGATGGGAGCAGAGCTTCGATCTGGGGGTCGGCGTCCAAGGCTTTCCAAAGTCCACTCGTCCCGAACAGCGTTCACCCATATGTACCTTCTCCAATTTCCGGTCCGTTGGAAACTGCTGAAAAAGTACCTCCGGGTTGCGCAGGGGGTTGTTTGAGCAGCCCACAACGCTACATGTAGTACTTAGCATCTTTCGAGGAACAGCTGGGCAGTCTTGGCAGCACCGAGGTTCTCGCTAAAATGAGTAGGGGAGTCCTCACAAGCAAATAAACAAAAGGCTATACCGAAGCTACACGGGCTACAGATAAAAGCAACGGGTAAACACGCCAAACACAAGCCGGAGTAGTGGCGGAAGCGGCTCAAAGAAGCGCACTTTACACTGCTCGACCGCGCAACGGGTGCGCCCGTACGGACCGGAGAAAAAAAAGAACATTACCTGACGTCACGGCCCAGCGTTGCTTTGGCGATCGGCAACCCGCTGGCCGCCCGCTAAGGAGCAGCGGCTCGCGTCGGGTCGCAGTTTTATTATCGGAATTAGTTGGGAACGCGGCGTCCCCTTGACGTAATATTTTGGCTGGTGTCGTATTTTGTGTCACTACAACGATACCAGTAATTTATTTAATTTTGATTTTTGGCCGAAGTTGCCCTTTAAGATGCGGTATGTGACTTCTACGGTACTGGTAAATGCTTGTACACTATAGTGATACGGACACTGGTCGTACAAAGTGCTGCTATGGTGACTCATAATAATGCTAATTTTCATGACCGTACAAAAAATCAACCTTTCAGTTACCCAGACGGTGTAATTGCTGGGTTATTATCGAAGAAGTTCGCACTGGTATTCACACTAAGCCTGTTCCAGCTAACAAAATGAATAATTATGTCCTTCAGTTGCTGTAGGGTGAGTTAGTTGTTCAAAGTTAACAATTTAGCTCATTGTTGCTAAGAAACACACACACACACAAATATTGTTTGGTTTGTCCTCTAGGGTGTTTTGCTTTTGAAGGGACAGAACATATTTCTTCGTGTAATGATTTGCGAGAAGCAGCCGATCAGAATAATGTTTGCTAACACATGTGTGTCGTGTGAAGCTAAAAACACCTGGAATGTAAAAACTTTTTTTTTGTTGACTTAACTTATGAGAGGAGAAAGAGCCTAGATATTGGAGAGAAATAACCTGCAATGTTAATACATATCAATTTGGAGCAATACCAATGCATGTTGGTCACTTGTGACTAAGTCTGTTGCCTTCTGAGTTTCACTATGTATTCAAACGTCATAAACTATATCAAAGTTTTATTGGTATAATCATGTTTCAGTGTAAAAGTCATGTACCTCGTTGTTTTTAAACAGAGGCGATTTTATTGCCATTATCAGCTTATAACATTATACACTCTGTCATTCTTTTGCGACCTCGGAAAGCTTCGGAAGGATTCCCTGTATAATTTACGTCCATGTGACCGCAAAATCTTCATCCATTGGTTGATCAAGATCCAGAAGAGTAAGAACCTGCGAAAGAATCAAAGTTACGCAAATCAATATTGGGGAAGACACATCGTCTTTCCGACTTCGTAAGCCAATACCTATTTCTAGTGTCGACTGTTATTCTTTTTACTTACACTACAAAACGATACGGCTTATTTTTTAAAAGGACGCTCTAATTTCAAGGTAAAGTCCTAAGTCAACGACATCTGATAAACAACGAAGACATGTTTAAATATCTACTTCTCAGACAAAATCGAAGTCATTTACAATTTACAATTTTCTGTTACGCCGAATTAGAGCGTAGCTCTTGAAGAGGAGGAGGGGAGGGTACGGAGGGGAGGGTATGCCCCTCTTTCTTTCCCGCAAAATTTATCGGGGATATCTTTACGTTAAAGTTAGCGGAATACGTTTACCCTCGTGACGTCACAAGTGATGTCACGTAATATAGTTGTGACCCTCGTAACCCTCACGATAGTAGCCCCCGTGACGTCACACGTGATGTCACGTGGGACGTCATTATGTGAAACGCCCCGTAATGCAGGGCGCGCTTACGCCAAGGGCGAATGCGACAGCGATGCCGCTCAAGCCGGAAACGGGCACCTAAGAGGTGCGCTTTCAAAAATCGAAGACACCTCAACATTTCTGATGAGTTGTGAATGCGGATGCATGCATTTCGTTATTTCGCTCCCAGAGTTCGTCTGCGGTGTACTGGCGTGGACGGCCACGCTTCGCTGCTGCCGAGCTTGCGGCCGCCGACGATATGGATGCTTCAGGCGATGCCATGTTCTTAAGCGGGTTTCACATGCAGCAATTGTGTCCCTAGGGCAGCGCGATTTCTGCCGTCGCGACGCTCTGGCCAGCGGCAGCGGCTGGGCGGCACGGTTCCACTAGGTTAAAAATTATCCGCCGCAGCAGAGCGGCAGCTCAGCCGCGGGACGGGAAATCACGTGACAGAAGGAGAAATATTGCCTTAAGCCTGGTTCACATGCAGCGGTTTTGGCCCTAGAGCGGCGTGATTTCTGCCGCCGCGGCGCTCTGGCCAGCACCAGCGGTTGAGCGGCACGAGCGCCGCGACGGCAGAAATCGCGCCGCTTTAGGGCCAAAATCGCTGCATGTGAAACACGCTTTAGAGCTGGTGCATGGCACGACGTCGTTTTCGCCTTTTCACGTTCTTGAAGCAGACGACGAGCAGAGAAAGCACGCAAGCGACTGGATTCCGTTTTTTTTTTTTGTTTTGTTTTCAGCGGGTCGAGCTTCTTTGCTTCAGCAGTCGCGTTGGAACTGTTCAGGAGATTCTAGAGGAGAGCTGTCCACTTCCTCGGAATTCGTTTTCTCAACGAATTGCGCAGCTCTTTTTTTACTTTTCTCGCCTCAGTGCCAACTGGATCGAGCGCAAGAGACGCTAATCGGAAGTGGCTTGAGCAAGCGCTAGCGAGAAAAACAAAGAATGTCAATAACTGAGCGACATTGACCTGTTTTTTCCATCACAGATCGTTCCACCAAGTAAGCCAAAATGTATCGTGCCCAGTTCAATGAACCGTTAATCAGTCAAGTGTCGAAGCGTCAGGTTCTTTGGGACGCGCAGGTTCAAAGAATTTAGGAACAATGGGACCGAAGGGCAAGAGCTGACTCAGGAAAGTAACCGACAAGACCGGTATGAAACCACTGCACTACTACTCAGGTCCAGGAGGTTCCGGTCGGCCCATATCAGTTAAAGCCTCTCCAACTGAGGAAGGCGCTGCCCGCGACGCTGCCGAAGATGATTCGAGATTTCACCCTCCGCAAAAACCAAGTTTGAAAAACAAAACAAGTTAGATTAAGGTTTATTTAGTATTTTAGACGCTTTTGTTTTGTTTTATTAAGGTGAAATTAAAGCAAAAACTTAAAACTAAGGCATCAAAATTATTGTTAGAAGCCACTGTAACAGACTGCGCGCATGTTCTTGCTGCAAGCAACATTGGCCATCGCAACGGCAGACAACGCTCATGTGAAATGAAACCTCGCGCTCCGTGCCGCCTCGCCGCTAGCGGCAGCGATTTCAACCGCGGAATTGCTGCATATGAAACCCGCTTTAGGCGCCGAGTGGAGCAGAATCGGTCGCATACCCGGCGCCGCGTGTCACGAGAGTGGCGGCCGAGCGCGGGCCACGAGGCACCGCTGACTCGGAGAAAATGGGAATGTATCTATCAATCCGCAGCTACAGACTACAGGCTTCGCGCCATTAAACAGGGTAATTATAGGTACCGTTGGGCGCGGATTCAAAAATTGAGAACGCCGGTTCGTTGCATGGAACAGTTACTGCTTTCACATTATTAAAAACATACGCGCCAACATATAAACTGTAATTCCTGTACGTTTTACAATCTGTCATCAAGACAAGTACAGCAGACGATTGTTGAATACAATTCAAACACAGTGTATCGAAAACTTTGTACGTTTTACTCCTGGTTTCAGTTTGCCACCGCCTCCAAGGAACATACTCAGTTGTAAATTTTAACTCATGTTGTTATATTGCACTGCTCCCACACGTGTCCCCCTCCAAAAAAAGAGAGAAAAAAAAAACATCAAGAAAAGGGGGGGGGGGGGGGGGTACCTTGATAAAAATTACAAACGAGTGCGAATGATAGTGCGTACTGTTAACCGCACTAATAGCTTTTCCAGAAGTATGCGTTCGGCTACCTAATTTGTAATATTCTGGGCGCATAAAGTGCCTCCCCAACCTAAAAGAAGGCATTGCAGGTCTTCACGCCTTGAAAATTTTTGCATACCTTCCATTATGCTTTCAAATTATCAAACGAAATCCCTAAGATTTTGTCATGAAATTCATTTGGGGCGCTGAAACTGTGAAACACCTTTTCGTTCCGTCACTCCACAAAACCTATCAGGTAACAGAATACGACAGCCACTAATCGTGACGTCACGCCCATTGCGGTTTCCCTTCTTACTAATGTCGAGCCGCTCTCAGAAGCCCCGTCCCTACAAATGCCGGACTGACGCAATAGGAACCGATACATACATTGCGAAGAAAGCGGAAGAATGAGCGTTTTAAGAACCCTGCATCCTGATCCGGTTACGTTACAGCTCGTTTATCGATTGAGTCACATTACGAAATATTCTATAGGAATTGCATATACTTTAATCTTCAAATCACATCTTAAGGTGTAGTGGGGGTATCCATGAGAAAGTCCTAAAACCCGCCAAGGTTTTCTTGTTTTTTTTATGTGGAATTAGCAACCTCTATATTTGGTTGGAAAGGTCCTTTAATACAAACAAAGTATCTAACGTTACGTCCGATGTAACCCAAGTTACGTCCAAATCTCCGGCTTCCCTAGGTTCCCGGGGGGGAGAGAGGAGGGCGGGGGGGAGGGTTAGGTATACACGTTTCAGTGCTCCGTCCGGACGTAACCCTAGCCACAGCGTGATACAAAACCTGCAGCCGGTATCCACGGGCGGGTTCGCTATTTATTCTTGTTTATTTGTTTGTAATGTTTAAGTATTTGTCTTGTTTTCGTTCGTTATGGGGGATGAGGGGCATTGTGTGCTCGTTTAAATTCTCCACCACCATGTTTTGCTCACGAAGCTGCAAGATTCAGTTGCATTCGTTTTTCAATCACGGATACCTACCAAAAATGTAATCCAATAAACACACGATGTTATCCAGTTGTTCATACTTCAAAAATCAAAATATACTGGAACTGGATGCCCCGTTTACACTATCATAGAAGCCGTAAATTTCTTTATAGGCAACTCTACTGAAATTTATTTGTGATAATTTCCGAACGCACAACCCATTGTTAGTCTACACGATGGAATGCTCTATGAGAAGGTGGTGCACTTGCACAGCGTGCAAGTGCATACTTAGACATTACAAATATGCCTTAATTTCCCAAACTTGTACTGAATGCTGCCGTCTATAGCAACTATCGATTTGCTCTTTAAGCGTTATGTGATGCAGTTCCACGTCCTTGCAAAGGTAAACAAACATCAGTATGGTAACTAAAATCAACATAGAGGACATTGATTGATCTGGTTAAAGTGCACTTTCCTTGAAGTAAATATCAATCATCCTCTAAACATTGTGTGCTTCCCTAGTTTAAATTTTGATATTGGTAAACCGGTAATGTTGCTCATCATAAAAGAGTTTAAAAGGCGATTCACAACAACATAAAGCCACCGTATCTTGTGGAAAGTAAAATAAATTTCAACCGTTAAGCAAGCAATCAGGGTCGTTTGTATAAGACACACGTTTCCTGTACGTAATCAATGCAATCAACGTTACGTGTAGCACATTTTAAACTGTGTATTGTTCAATGAAAGTTAAATACCTCAGTTGTTTCATTGTAGTCGAACTTCACGCTTCTGCCTTCAAGAGAAACAGTTGTTGGCCCAGTAGAAACACCGAAGACCCTCACTCTTCCCAGAGTCACATTATCCGCATATCCTCGTTTCGTCCGGCTGATAATAAGAAGGTCCTGAAAAATAAGTATCATGCATTCTTAAAGTAATTTTTCAGATAACATCCATGTAATTTACAATAAATGTAAATAAAAATAGAAAATGTACTACGTAAGCATACAAATTATATCACTGTAGAAACTCGAAAATGAAATAACACAAATGGAGAAATTCGGCGTTGGGGTACTGTCTCAGCACAGGTCAGGTGGTCACCTCCAAGGTGCTAACGTTAAGGTATATTTTTAGTGAAGTTTTTATTTCTGAAGTGCATGTATTGTGGCAGGGATTTCAATGATCTGAAATTTGGTTTTCTCAATCTCTTGACTGGAGCATGCGCTACCGATGTCTTTTGAATACGTCTCGGCACGGCGTTGAAATTTCCAGGGATTGCTTTCTGATGTAAACGACACCCAAGCAAAAAAAATTAATTCTTCGAGATAATAGCTCAAAATAACCCATCTGGTTAGACGTTTAGCCCCTCATCTGCCGCATCAAGTGTTCTCGCTCATTTAGCAGCAGCATTTCCAAATGTATTATTGAACATAATAAGCAAAAACATTGACAAGGACCGTCTTTGCTTTCTTGCTGTCCTCGCATTTTATATTCAAAATGCTTAACCAATTAGCTTACTTAATATTGATTATATCCATATGTCTTCGCACAATATATGTGGTGTATGCATTACATAACTATGTCAGCTGTGCAAGATCGGACATTTAAAGTGCACGTTGCAATCTTCCATTTAATAATTATAAATGTTAATTAACCCGGGCAAACAAATTTGTTCCATTAATTAGCAATATGGCCACCAGTCAACAATTTCACAAATCTTGCCCTCTGGTGAAAAAAGATATACAAGGTGTTTCCTTTTAATTCGAAACTATTTTAAACAAAACTGTGCTCAGAGTTACAGGATTACCGTCTTCACCATGTAGTTATTAGGATCGGCGGACTTTAGATGAGTGGACAATCGTTATGCTAAGCTGACTAATTAACTAAAATGTGTTAATTAACATTTAAATTATAAGTTTTATTGGTCATGTAGGAATTGCAGTATTGATGGCAATTACTATTTGCGTCCAGACCACACATTCTTATTTGAAACGAAGTAATGATTTTTCAGCGTAAATATTAAGTATAAATTTTTTCCCTCCGGATTTAAAAATTGCACGCGCAAAAAAAAAAACTTCGCAAGTTTTGCGCACGTTGGCTGCGTTAGGTGCAAAATCCATGACTTCGACTCGATTCACTACGTCGGAGGCTTTAATACCGTGTTTTTAAAACGCGTCGTAATGCAGTTCGCGCCCTCAGTATCATGGTTTTGGGTGTTTAAAAGAGTTAAGCAAGATAGCACACGAGACTAAGGTCTAAATTGGCCCGTGTTTAACAATCCTTGAACTCGCGGTTTTTCCTCAAAGGCGTTAGTTAGTGTCGAAGTACATTTATTTGGTCCTAACTAGCCAGAGGAACGCGAAGTTGGACTGCTTTGTGGTCTCTTACGATTATTGTTAAAAAGAAGAACATCAGCAAACGAAGTCACATGACAAGCGAACAACAAGCGACGAAGTATAATTTTTGCTTTTGATCCGGGATATAGCCTCAAAGATTCCAGAAAGTAATCGAACCGGACAGTTGCGCCTCTCTGACACCCTTTTGGCGATTTAGGCTATAATGAAGCAAGTTCACAAAAAAAAAATAGGAAGGGAAACCTAGTTCTGGCATTTGCTTTGGAACTGAAAAACAAAGACGTCAGTTGCCAGCAAGCTTACCAGGCATTGAAGCCTATTGTACTCTACAATATATTTGGTAGATTAGGGTTAAAATTCCAAACTCTGTAGAAAGAATATCAGTTTTGGCTACACTGTTTTGGGGGCTTTCGGGTCCCTGAACCCACACAAGGCCAAAGTTTCATCCCGTTGAACTGCCTTGCTTGGCTAAGTATGATTGTACAGATTTGAGTTACACTCTGAATATATGTGTAGTGGTAACCATAACATTTGAAGAAGTAACAATAGAGAGGGAGCATACCATTTAAGGCAAACTGCAAAACTATAGCCTCCGCGGTTCGGAAGGGTAAAATAAGTTCGTCGTTTCCTTCTCGCCTGTGCAACTCTATGTTTGAGCGAAGTCGTCGGACAGTTTGAGTACCTCGTACAGTTTTCACTAAAATATTAACCCAAAGGAGCAATTGACGAGCCGGCGAGGGGGTGACACCTAATGCTGTAGTCACGCCAACACAACGGGGCTAAAACTGCCTGGCGTGTGCTATCCTTGTAACATCTGGGAAGTCAACAAACAGAAACCAAGCTCGCTTTCACAATTCCACTGCTCTGCCTCAGGCTTCCGCCGGCCACTCATGACTGTGCACATGTTGCTTGCTCGTTGACAGGAGCGATATCGTCTCTTTTATTCATCGCTTTACCGTCATCAGACGTATTTTAAGACTATTAAGTTTCAGTGACCATCGATAACATTGGCGATGTAGAAGAAAAAAATTCTTGGGATACGATAGTTGTCCGCGGAAGCGCCACCGAGATTGACAAGCAGTAACGACCTGTGAACTCTGAATTTTTTGTGTGTCCGCGACAACGTAGCACCAAGTCTGGCAATTTATTCGCTACCGCCATCGATCTGTTGGGCTTACGTTGTTTTAGTGCCGACAGTACCGTTCAGTGTAGTTCATTTCAGTTTACGTACGAATGCCACCAACGCTACGAGTGAATTTAAGCTCCCCAGAAAGAGCTAGATCACGGCATTTTTTTACTGTGTTTCTAGGCGCGTGTTGTATCTAGCTAAAATCTTTAGATAAGAGCTTGCTACAAGTAGCGACATTCTTTGAAGCGCCGACAGCGTGACTGTGCGGGTTTTAGGAAGCGAATGGCGGCGCACAGCAGAGGTTTGAACTAAATGCCGCTATTTGTTTTAGCGGAATGTGCTTTGTCATTTGTATTGGTAGTGTTGTCGTTACTTGTAAAATAAGTATCAAAAAACTTTATCTCTAGCCAATCCAATCAAGCGTGAATAATGAATCGAGACATCTCGTTATAGTCTGTGCGTTTGTATCTCATGCAAATAGCTTTTGGCCCCGCTTAGAGTTAAGCTGAAACGCAGCATACAAACAGTTTCATCACGAAGTTCGCACTCTCTATTTGCTCATACACGTCGTCGCCATACGCCAATTGAAGACCGCAGGTTGAGCTCCGCACACGCGCAGTGCTGCACACGCAACGCTAACGCGAATGTACAGCGCTTGCGTTCGGTCGTATATCGAACACTAAAACTGACCAAAATAAACCGCCTCAATCTAAGGAAAAGTATCAAATCAAGGATGTATATTCTGGATTTATGTGTATATACATGTACATATATACATGGACATATACATGTACATGTATATTTTTTTCCTTTTTAATGAGGCTCTCTCCTAAGCCTACAACTTTCGTAGCAGAGGAATGTGATATGAGGGATACAGGTATTCGTCATCTTAATTTGTTTAGTGTGGAAAATAATTATCAATGTAAAGTATGGTAATTTCTTAACTTCGGGCATAGCTGCGAAGTTCACCAATGTTTGGAAGAAACAATTGTAATAGATGCGAAGTATATGGAATGTATCTCAACTTTTCTTATTGTGAATATGACCTGATCAAAGCAGCTCTGTGGGCTCAGATATATCACACAAAAAACTGAGACGTGTTTCAGAAAGAATGAAAAACGAATGATTTCAAAATCCAAATTGACACAAAGTACAGACTTACCTTTACTAGTAAGAACTCATAAATGTTGTATTTATCGTCTTCTATGGTATCTGAAATGGCATAAAACAGTTATGAGTCATCTTAGCCTGTACTGATCTTAGCAAATATCCTATAAATACGCCTTTATAGCATGGACAACAGCTACAATGAGGCATGCTTTCAAGAATCGTTCCAAAGTGGTTAGGTGACTCTGCACATTCAAGTTAGAAGAAAATATTATCTTCTGGTTCAAACAGAAAAGACTAACCTACACTACATAAAGACTTTGCCAAAAGTAGCAAGCAGTAGGAGTAATAAGCGTTCGTTTCGCGATACTGGAAACCCGTCAGCATTAAAAACAGTGTTGTCTGTTTATATCGTTACTTTCCAACCCTGTACTCGGCATTAACCTGCACGAACTAAAGTATTTTTGTTATAGAACTGTTTGTTTATAACACGTATTAAAGATGGCGGTTTACACATGGCTGAAAAGATGTCACGTCTCATTATTGGTCATTCTTAAAAATTGTTTATATCAGTCATTATTTGAGAGCGCAAGCAGAGAAAAAGTAAGTAATATTTTTGGAATAAATTTAGGTCACGACAATTGAGAATAATTTCGTTCCATTTTAAGCATTCATTTTTATATGCTGGGAAGGCGTAGGGTCACTATTTACGGGTTGAATTGTGTTTCTGCTTACTCGAGTCCCGCACTCGTATTTGTACAAGAATGTTGGAATATGATCGTCGCAGGAGTAAGAAACAATAATAGGACGTAAACGTGAAAACCCGCAATGAATTTTTCCCATGTAATCAATAATTTTGGTAACTTATTTACATATCAAATATTTTGATTTATCGCACTGCGACAAATAAAGATGACGCAGTTACAAAACACACTAAAATAATTGTTTTGAACTGCAAGAACCAAATTAAAGCATGGCGTAGGAGAATGCTTGCACGACCAAAAACAGTAGCGATAAGTACACTTCGAACCTATTTATTTAGTTTGATTACACAGGGTGTCTGCTTATAATTCGAAGAGATTAAGAAATAGAATATGAGATTTCGACGTGTGCCGTTTTTATCATGCATTTATCAGGCTTGGCGGATGTTAGATAAGGGAATTGCCGTCATGGTTAAAAGGCTAATTGACTAAATACCGTATTTTACTTTTTTAAAATTTAGTTTCAGGAATCTTCACGTAAAATTAGTACTGACAGCATTTACTATTAGAACTCAAACCCATTCAAAGAATTAGCAAAAATGCCATGGTTTTCCTGATATCAATTATTCAGTTTTGGCTTTTTTTTATCCCAACTTAAAAATTGCGCCTAGCCCAGCTTACAATAACGCTTAGAATAGTGGCGTAGTCCTTTCAGCCACCTTATCGCTATCTCGGCAGCCTGTCCTTGATTGGTACACAGACGGCACAAGTGATGTTATGACTGGAACGATTACGTCACTCTTCTGATCGTCATTGTGGGCATGACTTGCGACGCCCTTTTTTTACCGCAATTTGAAGTCAGGCTAACACACATGAATATTTATGAATTAACATCTTAAAAACCATTACATCTCTACACATTATTACAATCTTCTGGGCTCGAACAGTAATTGCTGTCAATACTGCTATTGCTACATGCCCCCTAAGACCTAATCAGTCAAATTACTATAGCTATTATTTTTTATTGATTGTTCGCCGAGCCTTATGAATGCTTGGTAAAGACGGCAGTCGTCTAACTTTCGGATACGCTGTTTTATTTTCAATTTGTTTAGATTCAAAATTAAACATTCTGTATATTCTCCCATGTGCTGGCCTTGTTGTAGCCCATTCCTTTCAGATGCAAACTAAAACCTTAAAAAAGTCAGTTTATACTATATGTTACTCAAAGAGGTGGCAAGTTAATGATTCAACAAGTTCCTTGGAAGTTTTGGTATCTAAATAACTGATTCCCAGTATACCATGCTAACAATAGTGAGTTCATCTCGCTGAAGCTTAAGGCTGCATTGTGAATTCCGAAGCAAAGCCGAAGGATTCCGAAGTAAATTTAGTCCAACTAAAAAAAACTTTCGGCCTTTGCACTCTGGTGAGGGAGGAGGAGCAGCGAAGTAGTAGCTTCTGTTCTCGGCGGTGGCGTTTCAGGCGAGGGAATCTGAAGCGCTGGATGCAGTGGAACTTTTGTCAATAGTGGCTTCCCGGCGGCTGCGGAACCATGCGCTGCTGCGCACATCGCCGCTCCTTCCGCTCTTCTTTCTCCGAGTAGGGTGCCTACATGTCTGTCTTGCTCAGGGTGAAGACATCCATTGTTACCCTGAATGTGCCAGCGCGTGACGCTCCGGCGCACTGGATACGTGACTTGAGCGGTAAAATGGCGTCTTTACATTAGCCAAAACTAGGCGCTCGAGCTGCGTGACACCGGATTGCGCGAACTTTAAATTGCATAAAAAAACGATTGGGACAAAAAAAAATGGCTCAGATGTCACCACTCAAGCAAAAGCGCGCGTGTGTATTAAGGCACTCTACATCCCGAAGAAAGGGTGCCGTCATCTATGAGCGACGGTGGCAACCAGTTGTCTTTTTGCCACCGTGGTTCATAGATGGCGCTAGCTGTCCGGATTTCAATGTCATCATTACTTTGCTCGCGGACACAATCCTGGGGGACCTCGCCCTCAACAGCTCCGCTGTAAAAACATATGATTAATATTTGCCTTATCGAGAGATGCGACAAAAATACAATCGCAAGAATAAACAAGCAAAACAACAACCGGCAAACATTTGCTGTTGCAATACGTACTGATTGAATCTCCATCGTCCCAGAACAGGTGTCCTCGTGCAGTGCCCTTGCGGTCAGGTGCAACCAGCAAAACAAAAGGGTTCTGTCGACTGACATAAGAAAAATAGAAGCAAAACTTGTTAATTGAAATGTGGGGTTTCACTAAGACGCTACGTTGGTGTGATTGCCAAGGTACAGGTAAAGTCTATTCCGTTAAGGCAAGTTCACATATTCTCCTTTGAGTCTAATCGACAGGGTTATGTAACAATACTCATTATGTTACGCTTTAAGGGGAATTCACACGGAGAGCATTCTTCGTTTGTTTTCTGAAATGCGCATTATGTGGTACTAACGTTTCTCCTTTGAGCGAAGCTGAGTGGGCGTAGATATTTCAGTAGAATGGGGGAGCTTTTGCTCGTGCATAGCCTCCTATATACTGAACACATCTGAGCGATTTCTGGTTTCCCCATGCTCTGGCGCTGTTGCACTTGCTACACATAATCGCCGCCAAGGATGTCACAATAAATACAATGCTTGTTCGCTGGCCCGCAGCACACCGCTACTCTTGCAGCGCCCGTGATTCCAACACTTTCCGAACGCATATTTGATAGCGGGTAAGCAGCAACAAATGTAGCTTCGAAAAGGTAATATATATGTTTGTGTGTACGAGGAGGTAACCTTAAATAAAGAATGTCAAAACAGCGAACACTTACAACTTTGAAATGCCTAGGCCAAGAAACAGGCGAAGACAGTAATGTAAAGAGGAGTTGCAACGGCAAGGGTCCTCCGGGGTTACAACCACAACAAAAATTCCTAAGCACTGTGGAAGGTGTTAGCTGTACCTCAGCTCACGATTGTGATGACGTACAGTGCCTGTCTTCAGGCGCTCGTCACAACCTCGAGGTGCGCGTTAGGTGTCTGGTCGGGTCAGCCAGTCAAGAAGCACCGAAAGAGTCCGTGGACTCTTTCGGTGCTGCTGGACGACATGGGCAAATCCAGTTTCGAAAATAGCGAGAATCACACCAAGTTGGGCTTTGGGTGAAACCTCAGCAAAATGCTGAGGCTTAACTCAAACAAAAATTAAGGAAAGCTTTTCAAGACCGGTATTTCTAATGTACGCCGCAAAAAGGTGCCAACTGCTCGCCTTTAAGTAGCGGGAGATAGAATTTGGTGCGCAGTCTTTTATCAAAAAAGCTACTGTCACGTGTGAGATCTCTGGTGTTGTTGTTTGGGGTCTTGTAAAATGACAGCACCGAGTCCTTCTTTCGAAAGTTTGCCTAAAACGCCGAAAAATCTGTGGTAAAACGAAAAACTAACTAATTAACTAGGTTCGACCAGCAGCTACAGCGCCATGCCAAAAACAGGACGAAGAATGCAGAAACGCACAAGAGAGGCTTCATCACGTCATTCACGTCATTAATGTCGTTCACGTTTTCTGTCTTGTACGGAAAAGAAGGGCACACTTGTTGTGATAGCTGGCAACCGTCAATTGGGCAGGCATTTTCAGTATACAGGAGACTACCACTCGGGCTGCACACAACGATCCCCACCTTGGCATGAATCTCTTCACAATTGGACTTAGCTTGTTCGCCTGTTTGGCAACTTTACAGATTTTGCTCAGCGGGATACCGGCGGTGTCATTGCGATCGCCTGATTGCGGCGGCTTGCGCTCGTGTGCATGTCGTTCGAGGCACCGATGCCTTCCTCAAGGTGCCCCTTATATATATACATATTTTTTTGGATTCCACGTTCTTTGTGTTGCATCCACCCATTTAAGAAACATTTTTTTTAGCAGGAAGCAGTTCCTCGTTTTCAGCATTTAACAGCGTGGTTGCCATAATCGTGTATCACGGTTTTATATGCGGATTCATTTTTATACTCTCGTCAGCGCGCACCGAGCCCTGTTGTCGAGGGTGCGACCGCTAATGCGTCTAGTAACATTGAAATCCTACTACGGTCCCCGCCGCGTGTGTAAAGCTGAGGTCGGGGAGGGTGTTCCGCTGATTCCACCGACAACTGACGTCCCGCTCACTCCCTCCTCAAAAAAACATCACCCGTGTTAATACCACTTTATGAGCAAAAATCTTGGGACCGCTATGACCCGTACGATAATCATACCTCTCCTTTTAACGCTGTAAGCAGTACAGAGAGCTGCAATTTTCGAACTAGTTTTACGAGCCCGTGCAGCGCAAGCATACCTAATGGAAACATAGCAAGTGCGCAGGCGAGTTGGTGGTAGTTCCTCTTGATGTTTAAAACCCTGAACTCTATGAAGGGAAAAAAAAAAGTTTAAAGTGAATGAATAAGGCACAGGAAAAGACCTCTCAATTGAGACGTCCTCTCCTGAGCGGTTTGGCGTAGAACTGCGTCTTTCCCGGCACTTAGAACGGGTGCGAAATTGGGATATGAATCTACCGAGAACGTGGTCACAGAATGTAAAAAAAAACTTGGTCACCGCAGTGACGTCACGCACGTCAAAAGAAATTTGGTCGGGGGTACAAAGTTTGGAAGTTGATGTCATAAAAACTTTTCAGAGACGTGACGTCACGCATGTCAAAATAATTTGCTAGAGGGTACAAAGCTAAGAACGTCGATGTCACAAAAACTTGGTCACGCAATGTCACAAAATCTTGGTCACAGAAAAGACGGGCACGCACGTAACACTTGAAGTTATTTTGAATACGGAACAAAGTAAACAAAGAAAATGGGAGCTCTCATGCTTTACCATGCACTCCTTGCACCACGGTACACTAATGACTCAGTGAACATGCTGTCGCGTCCGTTACGGAAACGCCGCCGGCTCTTTTCAATCCTGTGTGCTCTTTCCCGAAAACAACTTCGTGTCGTGTCTCTTAAACGGCCCAACAGCGAGCCTAGGTTTCCTCCGTCTAATTACTTCGCACGTAATTCCGCATATGCGACTCGGAATGATATACGCGGGGCGATGTAAAATTGCTTCTACGTGACTCTGAGTCACAAGGATTCACTTCTTGCGCACCCGCCATCGTCATAAGGAACGGGTAAGTGGACCTATCTCCAGCCGCCACGAACCACATATGAGAGAAGTGTACAGGGCACGGCCTCTCTTATCTTGTCCCCGTCTTATTTCTTGCGCCACCCAGACGTAGTTCTAAGGAATATTGTACAGCTCAGTACACCGATGCACAGACCAATTTTTCTTCGACTTTAAAATTTGCTAATATATCCCTAACAACAGTTCCGTGTTTTAAACATCAAGGTAAGCTTGCTCCTTTGTCTCATTAGTAGTGCGGAAGGAGGTGGCCGCCATGATTTCTAGACATCTCACCTTTCGGTTGTTGTAAGAGCCGGCTTATGACCGGGAACGATGGATCCACCTCGGATCAGGGTGTTCACAACGTTGAAGGGCGCAGGGAATGCCTGATAACGCCCGGACGTCGCTGAGTAGGCAGTCCCTCGGTCCACGTCATACCACACGCCGGCCGGGATGTAGACGTTGACCTCAGTCTGGTTCTGCGGTTGAGAAGGACGACGATTCCGTCACGTCGCGAACGGAAAACACCGAGAATAAGGCTGCTCACAAACAAAATCTGGAGCCTCGACATCCCCACGATGCACTTGGGAGAACCAATTGCTGCAAACTACGGAAACAGGTCGACCAGTCACGACTTTTAAGATTTGTTCAGACCTAAACAAACTGTGTGCGCTGTAGCATTGAGCCCCGGGAAACGCCACACTCGGTGCAACACTCTAAAAAATGTCTTTGCGCCTACTTTCACGCACAACACTTGGACAGCCAATCACCCACAACTTACGGTGGCAGCTCAGTGAATGACGATGCCGAAAACATATGAAACATATGCTTAGACCAAAAAATGCAGTTTTAGTTGTGATGTTAAGCAATGCAAAACGTCACGCTCGCATTGCTTAATGTCACAACTCAAACTGCGTTTTTTGGTCTAAACTTATGTTTCGGCATCGTCATTTGCTGAGCTGCCTCTGCAAGTCGCGGTGATTGGCTCCCCGAGTGTTGTGCGTGAGGGTAGGCGCACAGACTTTTTTTAGAGTGCAGAGAGCAGACGCTTTCCTTTTTTGGTCTAGACATATTTCCAGCCTCGTCATTGGCCGAGGTCCCTCCTTTTTTTTACAGCGATTGGCTCCCACACGTACTGCGTGGAAAGTAAATGTTTATATCTTTTAGACTGAATAAGTATTGCGCAGAATATCTTCTGGGAATGGGTTGCATTGACGAAATGGCGCAAAGAAAAGTGCAGGGCAGACATGCAACAACGGAACGTTACACGCTGGATTAAGCAGATTCCGGTCTTGCTTAATTTAGCGGGGAAGCGCTCGTCTACTAATGTTAGTAAGAAAACGAAATTAATGTATAACTTTACACCTATAAGAATTCGCCCGCTAAATTTAGCCAGAGAAAGATATCCTCTAAAGTTAGCGAGATGTGAGTACGCAAAATTTTAATTACTGCGGTCGTCAGCAGAGCCCGTAACACTCAAGACGGGTCAGAACATGCTGTACATTTTACTCCTCCAGTCATTACCGTTGGGATTCATTCTTTTTCTCTCACCCAGGATTTGACTGTCGTCTTAGAGCTCTATATTGTTCGGATAAACTGAAACTATTATTAGAGGAATTACGGCGACAACGTATCTTCGATTTAGTTCTTCATAATACAAAGGCTGACTGCAGGCGTCGAAGGCGTTCGAATGCAAAAGCCAAACGCCGGGCGGCGCCAGCGTTCCGCGTTCTCACGCGTCCGAGGGGTGCAGTGGATACAAAGACATCTAGCTTGTGTTCTACAAGCTAATCATTTAATCCCGAGCTGAGCGCTCTGACATCACCGCTCCCTCTCGTCTCGTCCTCTTGCTGAGTTTTTCGGCGGATTGGTTGAGCAGCGCGAGCTATTCGTCCACGTGCTCCGAGCTAACACTCTCCCTATAATTAACCTAGCTCCACTAAGTGAAGAGCGTTTCGTTCGAAAAACATGTTACTGAACACTGCAACTTTCTCAAAAGTCTCTAATTTGCTGACAGGAGATCGGGAGCAATGGTTAGCTGCAGCATTCCGAGAGGCTTTGTCTTTGAACATCTTATGTTAAATGTTTCCAAATGCATACGATCCAGAACAGTTCTTCAGGTTGACCCGAAAATTTGATCTCAACCACAACAGCAATCGTTCCGTAAGTGGCTGATCACCAGATGCATAATAAATATATTAGCCCCCTCTTAAATGAAGGAAGTGTTGCTCTTGGAGGTTAACTACACAGTGTCCGGATTTGTGTGGTCTTGTAATGAGAATTAAACTTCAATGTTTCGCCATAACATTCAAGAGCAAATAGTAAATTATATTCACATGTTCAAATATTTAGCGATTCGGCATAGCCCCCCCCCCCCCCCCCCCCCCCCGCCACCCCGAAAAAGGAAAAGAAACTAAGATAAGTCAAATGAACTTTAAAACGTGGCACCACAGAAGGCAAGCTAGCTTCTTGAAAAGGAAAGTTAATCTATTTTAGAGTGGGCCCTGTCTGGTATTCTAACTTAAAGAAACATGTTAATCAGCGCAACGCCTAATGTAAGGACATTCTTTCTCGTTTCTTACACAAGGCATCGAAAGTGTTTCAGTGTAATTCATGACCACTTAGAGGGACGCTGAACACCCTTAAATTGTTTTTAGGTGCCCGGATACAAACGTATGGAGCACAAACAAGACAACCAAACGTTCTAAAAAAACATAAATTAGCACAATATTTAAATCTTCAGACTGATCCCGTAACTTCCTTCTCTTTTGCCACTTCGACAGAAAGTAAACGCAGAAATAGCACGGCTCGGGCTCGAGTTTAGTCACTCAATGTAAATATACCGATAATTTTCCTTGGGAAGCCTATTCTGTCATATACGCCTGTATTATCGAAGTCTCTTAAAAAAAATTTTTTTTTTTTTGTAATTTTAGTATCTGTTTAAAGGAACACTGAACTAATTTTAAAATAGTATCTTGAAGTAGCTGTATAACCCAGTAAGTGATAAAAACACTTTCTACAATAAAAAAAAATAATAAAAATATAGGACCTGCAAACCATCGTGAGTATTGTCTTGCGCTTCTATTCGTTTCTCTTTTTTTTTCTTTTTGTTTCGGAGCAAAGTGCGAATATAGAAGACTATTCCGGAATTGATCCTTACTCAAAAGACGTCTCACAACCTAAATATTGCGCTAAATGTTGTTCTTTTGTTGCGTCTGTTCAGAGTGCACTTATTTTATAATAATAAAAAAAAAAAACATGTCCAAACCAGACGTAAAAAAACAACACTTTCACATATTATTGAATATTATAGATCTGTGTCTCAAGCCGCCGAACATTTTTAATAATTGTAAATGAAGCTAGCGCCATGAAGAAGTCCTAACATATTCATTTCTTTGCGGGACTATGCGATCTTACAAAATACATGGTTCCCTTCCAGTCTCACTGTAATTGTTATAGTTATTGTTTCCCGTAAGGTCGAACCGAGAGAATATCTTTTAGTCGGCATGTACGCATCATATGATGTATTTTACTGATTCTTAAATCTTCCTCTGTTTTATTTATGACTGTGTCATCAATATTATAGTTTTTTTTTTGGGGTGACTCAAATTTTCGCAGATTTTAATTTTTTTTTTTTTTTGCATTTCTATGTAAAGTGGCCCAATTTTTTAATAATATCAAGCGAGCGTCGACCGCCGGGACGGCCAGCGCCGTGCTGCGGAGGCGTGCGGCGATACGGGAGAGATTAAGCGCGTGCGCACAAAGCCCTTTCTCGTGGGAGCGCACAGCCCCTGCTTGGTACCAAAGGAGGGCAGGGCGCTTGCAATGTCGAAGTGCATCGCCGATACGCCCCTCCTCTTAGAATGCGTTCATAATCCTGTTGACGTTAGCCTGTGTAACCGCGACTGTTTTTGCTATATCCCTTTGCGTCATGCCGCCCATCGACAAGTTCCCCTGTTTCTAAAGGCACTCGAGGAGGCAGAAAAATGTGCGCGCGCCCGCCGGTCAAAGAAACGTGTGACCGTGTGACTACCCGGCTACATAGGCTAGATGACGACATCAACAACGCAGTTGATAATACAAAACTCCAAGCCGAAACGCTGTCCATACTCCGTTTTACTTCGTGTTGTACCGCAGCCGACACTACGAGCCATCTTGGCCAGTCCGTCGCTAAAAGTGTGTCACGTGGCCTTCCTGTTGGGCAAAACTGCACGTGAAAGCACGATGTCACGTGGCAGGGTTAAAGCACTGGATTGGATTGATGGCTCGTAGGATTGATTGCGGTATATGTTTTCATGCATCGTTTCATTCTGTTTGTCGCGTCACCGTATATTTTTTTTTTGTAGGTGTTCTCCAAAGTAAACGACAACATGAAGTTACAAAAAAAAAAATCAAACTCGAGATGACGCGTGGTTTATGCAACGCCTGAGCAGTGTCGAAACAAAGAGAAAATAAAAGCGAGCGTTGTTCAGATCTTTGCTTAAAGGCTGGCCCTGTTAGCTATGCTAGCAGATGAACAGGGGCTGTGTTCGGTCAACGGAATAGCCTAGCAAACGACGCTCGCAAAAAAAAAGAGCGTTGTGCGCACACGCCTAATCTCTCCCGTGACGCTGCATTACTCCGCGGCACAGCGCTGGCCTTCCCAGCGGTGACGCTCGCTTGATAACATTAAAAAAATTGGGCCAGTGTATTTTTTATTTACTACACCTCCAATATTTCCGCAATCTAGGAATATACATATATTGTGAAAGTGTTTTTGGTCGCTTCAAGAAGAAGACAAATTCCGGCTGTTTCCTGATCGAGATGTACATCAGCACGCGCTACCCGAGTCTCGTGTCCCAGCCCCAGCAGCGCGCAATTCCGCGTACCGACGATTGTGCTTCCCACGCCACAAATGCCCCCTTCGAAGGAAAGGCATATATATATATATATATATATATATATATATATATATATATATATATATATATATATATATATATGTATATATATATATAGGAACAGCACCTGGGGGATAACAAGAAGGCACTCGAGAGAAATATGTTCACAAAATATTTGCCCTTATAGGAGATTGTCGTCCAATTTCGCCAGAAAAGTGATCTGCAGTTACGTTTCGGGCCTGGTAGGCTCGAAACGTATCTGTAGATCAAATGTTTTTCGGCCTTGGCCCACCATCTCCTATAAGGGCAAATATCTTGTGAATATATATATATACATATAAGAAAGAAATACAGTGCTGAATCAAAGGAATAGGAAAACCTGGAAAGGTAACAGAACCTAGAAGAACTGTTTCAATATTGTCCTGCGAAGCGGTTCCTGTATAGGGCATTCCATACAGTCAACAAATCTAGTCTCGGCCTAGCCTCCCGCTATAGTCGTTTATACTAGACGTTTGTGCACCAGGAAAGTGTCAGTTAGGTGGTAAAAGTTATAGAGACACGGCGGCGTTCTGGACAAATTTAAATATCGAAAGATTATGATAGTTGGGAAGAATTTATCTAAAACATTGAACTTGAAAAGGTTGTTTTCTTAAGTGCCAGGATAGGATACGTATGTCATAAAATAAATTTACACAAAAAAATATATTTCTGGCAATAATTACGTTACGGGACACATTTGATTTTAATCCAGACAGATTTCGATAATTTCGGACGTCAATCCAAAATATGCGAATATTTCAGAATTGTTTCTAAAGACATAAAAAATAATAAAAATATAAGGGCAAAAACAAAGTCTACCCGCAAAAAAATAAAAAAAAAATATTTGCGCGAACAAATGAATTAGCGGGATATTTTTATTTATTTTGGCTCACTTTGAGTAAGGAGAGATTCCAACACATGCTTCTATTTTTGCACGTCGTCCCCAGTATAGTGACTGTGGAGAAACACTTCGTGTCATCCAAAACAAATGCCTCAACCTGTATGATGGACACATTTTTTTAAGGTATGTTTTTGTGGCAGTTGCATTTATCCGAGGCATTTAAGCATTCCATGCATTTCAGGCATTCAAGAGAATTTTGCTTCAGAGCTTCTGTGAATCTATTGCCAAGAATCTCACGTGACCTGAGGCAGAAGTGACGAATGAATCCGTCTCATGCACTCACCGGGTATAAGGCCGGGCTGAACATCAGACTGGGACCCCAAAGGAACTGTTCATCGATGCTGTAGGTGTTCGGGTCCTCCGGAAACCTGCAGATACAAACGTCGCATATCGTCACCGCTAAAAAAAATGTTTTGTAGTCGTTTTTTTTTGTATTTGAAAGCACAGGGGCGAAGGAGTTTTAACTTTTTAAGAATCCGCGTTTTATGTTATTTAATTTATATCAAATTATTGTTGTTTCATCGTCCCAGATGTTGCAACAATGCGTGCTATTGTAACATTCGCCGCACAAACAAAGAGCTTGACACGTTGTGCCTGATCTATCATAGTACTCCTCTCTTTCTTATTTCTTGGTTTACAAAGTATGTTTGCGGTGTTTTCTTCTAAAGAACACAAATAGATATCTACAACGGTGGTAACGTACTGCTCGTAACCATCAGTAAATATTTCAGCTAAGTAATCGTGAGTATTACCGGTAATGGTGTCTTTGGAAATCAAAGCAAGTTTAAAGCGCAATTATACGTAGGTCGCTAGAGTGTGAGATCTGACTATCAAATATAAACTTACGCACAAAGATGAGACAGTTTAATATCATATATATGTCTGCATTTGACATTGTTTATGCATTGCACGGTAGGAAGTTTCTTATAATGTAAAGATTTTAAAATTTAAAATAAATACTTAATAATATATATATTTCACTGGCTTCCAGTCGTCCTAAAAAGCAATGTTGCTTTCAAGTGCACACCCTGAGTTTTGTATTTCGCCAAGCTGCTCTGTTTTTTTTAATAAAATTGCTTCGAATAACGCCATTTCAAATTATCTAGTGATAAAACTCTCAGACACTATTACGTTGCGTTGAATTTTCGGCACTGAGTATCAATGGTCCAAAAATAGTAACCAGGCTATATTATTTGAGATTGCAAGCCATGTTTCAAATTACCGGAGAATATGTGTATTATTTCATCTGTATCAATACAAAAACTTGATAGGGTAGTTTCTTGTTATGTCTCCAATATATTAACTAAAACCACACAGGTATCCTAGCATCCCTCCCTCCCCAAAATAAAGTTGCCAACTTATTGAAAAATACTGAGCGATCGCCGTCAGCTAGCTGACCAGACGAACTAAGTACCTGTAACTATGTAGTAAATAAGTTGTGAACTGACAATAGGGTTGAAGAAAGTATCGAAAAGCGAGTTATACTGTGACGGCGTTTCAGTCGTGACACAAGTACAATAACAAAAATACCAAAAACACTTTTTCATTGGAAACTCACTTATCACTAGGGTTTCGTGTATTAGGGGTTTATTTCCGTTGAATTAACGCGAGGGCGTTTTTCTGGTAGTTGGTTTCTTTCTCGCCGTTCCGGTATTCTTGGGAGTTAATTTTTGCCGCCGGAAAAAAGATCGCCATTGCTGAGAGTAATTATGAAGACGAGAAAACAAGGATACGCGAGTCAACACCACATAGGAGAATATGCGTGAAAAGAAAACTTAAAAAAATAAAAACGTAACGCTGGTCATAAGAGCCTGGAAAATAAACAAAAAGGTATTGTTTCGATAGATAGAGGCAGTCTCACAGACGGTCTATTGGGGGCTGCGTTTAGGCAGACCTGTAGATACATGTTACACAAAAATGTAACTAATTACCCACTTTGTCCTGAGCCCGAGACTGAGGCAGGAAAAGAGGAAAGTTTCAAAGTAGAAGAGAAATGAACTCGAGGACTGGCTTCGACTGCTCGTTTTCCTCTTTTCCTGCCTCAGTCTCGGGCTAACAACAAAATCGTTAACATCCACCAGCTCGCCTGCGCATTCACTACATTATCATTCACTAATTATCGTTACTCTCTGTTCGCTGAAAAAGTAGCTGAAAACGTTACTCGTTGCCGGTTCTCATACGGAACGTGAAACTTCACATCAAATGTAACGCGTTACTTTTCTCGTTACTTTGACGACCAAATACACAACTGCTCTTGTTTCATTGTTTTATTTTCAGTCGTTGCACTTAAGGTGCAGTTGCACCTTGAATGCCGTTTTGGTTCTTCTTTAACGGTTTATAACCTCTTTCCTCAGTAATCTGCAGTCAGAAAGTTAAAGTCAACTGAGAGAAATATTCTTCAACTATACTGTCATGTATCGACATTACGTGTATTTTTAGTTGTTTGTTTATTGTTTAACCTTTAATAAACCACAGTTTTTGATATTGAACAACTCCATTCTCGACTTAGAGCGTCCTAGTGACCACTACAATTTACGTGAGCGGTCTCTTGGATATTGTGAATTTAAAACTGGGTTCCCATGTTCCGAACTTTGAGAATAATGTACAGGCATTGTTTTCAATCGTTTCGAATCATGATAAAAAAATTATTTTTACTGATTAGTGCCCCTTTAAGCAGTAGCTCAATCTCGAAGTTTTCATCGGTTATGCTTTCCCGCTTTCTTGGAATGGATATCTGGCTATGCAGAAGAGTCGTTCTAAAAACGCGCTCTAAAAAAACGGAAAAGTTGTGCTGTAGCAAGAGCTGGTGAAAAGGGGATTCTAATCTCTCCTGCGTTTTCTCTGGTTCTAAAGTTCGAACTTGACAACGGGTTCTGCGCCTTTCCGCGTTGGCAATATTCGAGTTTACATTCGGTTTGTACACGATTCTAGAAGGTTTAACCCACGTACCTTATTGTGTTCTCTATGTGAGCGACATTCCCAGCTGTAGAGTTCGACTGGCGTGTTCAGCAATAAAAGCTGCGAGTTGTGTTTCGGGCTGCTCATCTGCCTTTGTCGCAATAGACGCACGCCAAGGTTAGAACTCTTTCAAATTAACTAAATACCGTAACTCAGTACTTGGCTTTTAAAGTAACCAACTACGTTACTTGCTCTTTTTTTAGAAATGCAACTGATGACATTACTCGTTACCAAAGAAAAGTAGCTACATAGAAGTACCTCGTTTCTCTTAACGCGCTACGCGCTCGTGTGTGTTTAGGGTTTAAAAAAAAAATAAACTTCTGAAAACGCCTTTTTCTAATCTACAGAAAATCCCAGGAGTGTTTTTTTTTTTTATCCTCTGTTTTTAGATTTTGAGAAAACGAATATTGGTGCTGATTTTCGAGTCTTATGTGCATGTAAAGAGAACACGCAACCTTTATTATAACCCCGAAATTGCGTTATTGACGTTATAGAAGGAAGGACGGGCTCTGCGTACTCAAAGAAGAGAGGCCTAGCGACAGTCTCGCCGATTGTGTGACTTCTGTAGAACAGCGTGTAGAGATACGGCAGCAGCGTGTACCGCCCCAGCAGGGTGCTCCGGGCAGCATCAACCACTAGGGGGCCCATGCTGTAAGGGTCTTGGTCCTGCGAGAAACAAGCGACTTCAATCACTCTACAGCAGCATTCTACTCGGTTTTTTACGGCATTTCCAAAGGGACACCAACATTTAGTTATAGCGAGAGAACGGTTATATTCGGTTTAAGCTTTTTCAAGATTTAATGACGCTTTTTCTTGAAAGCTTTAAGAGCGAGAAAGAGCCTTCTGGGAACCTATAGGGACGCTGTTTTACACACTGTCGCTAATAATTAATGTTTGTACCGTTACTTCTTCGTAAGATATGTATTTCTTGAAATATTTACCGAAAATATTGGACGAGAATATTGATGCGAAAGCAGCTCCATATGTGTAACATCGCTCATGAACGAGGTGGTCACTGACTAACCGATTTCTTCCAAAAGATTAGTATAAAAAAGGCATGGGTAGCCTAAGGGACAGCAATAGAGTTAGCGGGTCGTCGTGTGCCTGTTGTGGGTGTGTGTCATCTGTGTTCGAATTACTCATCTGAGGTAAATGTATAATAGGTCTGCGAATCTGCATGTTTGCAGCGTTGGAAAAAATCTACCCCAGCGAAAATACTCTTCATGCGTTAGCATTAGGATAGTCGATCGTTTTCACAAAAGCCCGGAGTGTCTTTCGTTTGTGAGTGCCGGAGAGAGAGGGAGAAGGAGGGGGAGAAGGTGACGCGTATGACACTCTCGTTCATCCGAAGCGCTGACACCAGCGCGCATCAACCTCTCCCTCTATCCCCGGCGCAGACAAACTGACAGACAAAACCGGGTTTTTGTCAAAACGAAACCTTTCGTTTTCGTAGTCACGGACACAGCTGGCGCGGAGCGAGAAAGAAGGGGCACTGCACCGCGGCGCGGTGGTATGCGGGCATGTTTAGTTACCGCTGTGCGGCCGCCGGGTTTCCTAGTAGCGGTGCGTGGGCTGTGATGTGTGTGTGTGTAATTAAAACTATAGATGCGGCTCCCTCCCCGAGTGATATGGATACGGATCCTTCCATGAGTTGTATGTATGCGGTTTTATCCACATGGTGATATGGATGGCCGTATCCAACGGCTTCGGCGTACAGTAAAAAAGGGGTGAAAGTAATTACATAAATATCCATTTGTATATTCTTAGAAAATGCGTCATCATGACACTTGGGAAACGCCACATGCGTCACCCCTCGGAAAACGTGAAAGTAAGAGGCAGCGAGAAATAGATGAAGCAGAGTAGAAAGCCAACAGAGAGAAGTCAATTGGACAGCTTTAGGGTTTCCCAAAAAGGGATGTGCGTGGCGCTTCGAGGGTCATGTGAACGCATTCCCTAAGAATCTACCAACGAATGTTCTTGTAATGTTTTACTTTACAATTTTGAATTTGACGTTTAGTCGCGCCACCTGGGTTCGGGTAGCGATTACTAGGTGTTGTGACAGTTAGTGCCGGATTTTAGCTAAATATAGTTAAAGATACTTGCTTGTTGAGTTACCGTTACTAGCTTATTTCCTAGTAATCGTTACTAGCTACGGCTACTAGGTGCCGCCTAACGTATGTGACAACCAGTTACTAGCTTTTACCTAGCAAATACTATTACCTCTATTTTTAAGAGCGTAAACTTCATGTCGAGGGTCATTTCACACACCTAACTTTAAAGCTAAATAAATTTTCGTTTTTCTCAATCGCGGAAATTCCTGTTTCGGTCGCCGTGATTGAGGGATTGACTTTGGGGGGACACCAGTTGGAAAGTAAATGCACCACAAAGTAAAAAATAAAGTAAGCTTTCATTGAGCAATACAAAACTTATAGATTCCTGCTTTTTAATCATAAATTGAACATTTCCAAACATCCACCCTGTGAACACCCATAGGTCGAAGTCATCCAATCCCCGATGTGTTGTATGTTCTATGTTAACTTGAGCGGTGCTTTATTTTTCTAGGAAGCATAATAGACTTCAGAGGTATTAAAATATTTTCAACCTAGTAAATAGCTCTAAGACAACTTCGTAGTCTTAGAGCTACGAAGTCGTCTTCGTAGCTGTAAGACGAAGAGCTACGCAGACTCGTAGCTTTTCATAAGCTACAAAACGACGAAAAATGCGTGTCCATCCCGTATCTTCAAATTTTATCGAACGCTAAATAGGATATCGCATGAACCGATAAAAACTCAAAAAGAAATAAAAAAAAAAAAAACACTGTATGATATAGTGAACCATTTCCAGCCCGTCTTCTTGCGCCCTGTTGTTCTTATCCAGTTCAATATATTTAAGTAAACCAATGTGACTACGCTTTTTCCAGTTAATTGCATCTCCCAATGAAAGCCAATCGTTCAATATCTGATTTATCTCTCAGAATACGCCTAAAACACCTTCCTACTATTAACACTCTACTTTTTTTTTCTTTCGAGTACGGTCCCTTAGAGACCCCGAGCGACTAAAGTTCGCGCTTGTTACCTTCTTTTCTTTCGACCTTTACCTTACATTTAAGCCGTCAAAAATAAGAAACCACCAAATTATTTCTCATGCCAGTTGCAAGCGCGAGCGCACTTTCAACGACACAAACATGAATGCAGCTCGCTTTCGAGTTCATCTGTGTTACCCGCCCTAGCCAAAAAATACAGAACAAACACAGATATTAGTAGGGTGCAGCACATCATCATTTACGCAGGACAGACATGTTTCCGGATTATTTATATTCAACTGCGCACAGCTTACCAAGCCGTCATCGGTGTTGTGGTTTCTGGAGAAGGGGTAGAAGGCACCGAGGGCCTGCCAGCGTGCACACAGTTCCACCGTGGTGTTGGAGTTGAAGCCGCAGATGTCCGCACCCACCAGCGGCATGCCGTACATTCCGAAACTCAGCATGTCTGCAGAAAGCGTGACGGCAGAAGCGAATGCTGATGCGAATGTTCACCTCACGTCAGTTGTTAAAGGTGTAGGCGCGAAAACCTTGATCAACTGCACGGCATGAGAACGCGTAGCAACTTAACACTTAAGATGCGCGGGGTGTCGAAAGTCCCGTGCATCTGATTATTGCTTCTTAGCCAATGAGATTGCGACATTCGGAAAATAAGAAGTCCGAAGGTTTAATCGCGAAGCAAGGGGCGTGAACATAATAGACGACGCCTCGCGTTTCTTAAGCCGTGGGTTACCCTAGGAGCCATCTACATTTTCAAACCTGCAAAGAAGGAGCACCGGCATTATATTCAATGTTGTTTAGGAAGTCCTGGCATAATAATTCCGGCATCTTTTATTTTGCGAACTGTTTTTCGGCGGTGCGTACACTCTAAAAAAAGTCTGTGAGTATACTTTCACCCACAGCACTCGGAGAGCCAATCACGGCAACTCACGGAGGCAGCTCAGCGAATGACGATGCCGAAACATATGTTTAGACCAAAAAAACGCAGTCTGAGTTGTGACATTAGGCAATGCAAAACGTCACGCTTGCATTGCTTAATGTCACAACTCAGACTGCCTTTTTTGTTCTAAACATATGTTTCGGCATCGTCATTCGCTGAGCTGCCTCCGTGAGTTGCCGTGATTGGCTTTCCGAGTGCTGTGCAGAAAAGTATACGCAGGGTCTTTATTTAGAGTGTAGTTGAATTCAGTGAAATACTAAAAGGTACAACCTGAATGATAAATCGTACAAAGGACATGTTTTAACGAGGGGGACTTCTGATCTGGGCACCGCACCTTAGGGCTCTAATTTTTTTCAAATTAGAAAAATCAAAAACGCTTCCTCGGAGGTTTTTTTTCCCCCTATTTAAGTATTTCGTTATCAATATTTGGTGCGGGACGTAAAAGCGAAGTTTATCAGGGTTCAGAAAGAGGAAAATACGACACGGGTATACCCCAACCTCGAAGAAACATTACACATTACCTAAGTATAGAAAACGTTTCTTACCGATAAGAAAAAAAAAAAGAAAAAAAAAAAAAACACGTGGTAAGATGTGCGGTTCTGTAGTAGGAATAAGCATTTGAACAGTCAATGCGTGCTGCGCTCCTGGAGAAGGTGCAATATAGATCTAGACCAGTAGTTCTCAACCATCGATATTTCGCGGACCCCTTGGGAATCCGCGTAGATGATGGAGGACCCCATTTATGACGAGAGGAAGGAAAAGTATAGGTTCATTATTATAGTGCTTTGATAAATGGATACAAGTAAGGCCTAGTGTGAAGTAGACTTCACTTTTTGACATATACACGAGAAAACTCACCCGAAAATTGGAACATTTCTTCACAATCTGAGAAAATACAACTTTTATTTACGGGCTTCACTGATGAGGCTGGGCTTCGCGGATCCCTAGAATGCCTTCGCGTACCCCAAAGGGTCCACGGACCCCCATTTGAGAACCACTGATCTAGAAAAAGACTTACTTCCAGTCAGACTTTGTTGTCCTTACATAAGGGCTGTTCCCGTTCGGGGTTTATTGGTTTTCCTTGATCTCTTGATATTTTCCGAAAACGCAGATCCTTACTCATTAAATACATTTTAAAGGCAATGAATGGTCTCGTATGAATTCTAAACAAGGCATTGAGGTTTTTTTTTTTTTTTTGTGTTTTTCTGCACGTTCGAAAATTCGAACTGTTACTAATCTCCAGCGTTTTGAAAAAAAAAAACGCAATTTCAAACAGTAACACAAAAATATAATTTATAGATCGAAGATCCGAGAGTATTGTTATATTACGTATAATTTTGAAAGCCGGGTAGTCAGATAAAACTGCACACTAGAAAAAAATAATAGAAATAAAAGCGAGTTCATCTGTGATCACTGGCAATGAATCCGGAGTGTTGAAAGATGAAGGCTGCAAAAAGCAGACAGCTTTCATGCAATGATTTTTCTGTCCATCGATGCGCAAACTCTTACACTTACGGGCTGCTGTTTCTTTTAATAATTAGCAGGTCATCCCTAGACACGTAAAAGAGCAAGGCCAACATTTATAATGATTCATTAATGCGATATTTGTTTCGGTCTCGATTTCCGGGAGCCGAAGTCTCAGAGTGACGCCACGCACCAAGGTGCGCAGCATATGGTGACGGTCACATCATCCAAAAAATTGTGACGTAAATGTCCTAGAATTCAATTACACGAGAAGGTCTCCACCATGTCACCGTTATCGGGGCCTCGTGATACCCTCTGTGGTTGCGCTGCTTGCTCTCTGACGTCATCCCAAGATTTTAGCTTTTACTCTATGGGACAGCTTAAGAACCCACAGAGATTGCTTCATTGTGTTCGCACTTTTCGCTTCGTGATTCATTCTTTGCTGCTCATATCGGCTAATGTCTCAATGACATTTGCTTTCTAGTGGTACCAAATTAACTGCAACAACTAGGCGTATTCTTGAGTGCGTTTGTTGGGAAGTGACGCCGAACGAAATATTAAATATGAACCAACGAAATCAAACCGTTGGTGTGTTCTCATTTTAAAAGAAAATATAATCGTTTCACACCTATTAAAACATTATTAATTGTTAGTTATCAAAATGAACTAGACGTAGCTGCAAACGAATTATGTCCCTACTAATTTTCCGAGTGTAAACTCCCCCTAAAAGCAGAAATTTGGACAAAGCGACCAGTATAAAATAAACAAACTTGCGATACGGTATCAGGCACGCCAAACTTGTTGCATCTTACGTACTTGGTATGCTCAGTCGCATGTCCTCCCAGGAAGACGCAATGTCCCCTGACCAGTGTCCCGACCAGGCGGCTTGTCCCGGTGACGTCGCTCGAGAGATGATGAACGGTCGTTTTCGTCGGATGGATGCCAAGGCTCTTGAGAATATAAATACCAATACAAATGAATCCATACCAGATTACAGTCGCTGAGTAGGATTGCCCTTATAACAGTAATATTGAGCCACGTCAGCCATACACTTCATATGTATAATATTCGTCTAGTTCCAACTTTTTAGTATATAAACATAAAACAATTATAAACAATTGGTTTTCCGACAAGCTTATAGTTTTGGAACCCAGACGACAAGAAGATATAATGAAAGTATCTAAGGTAAAAAATATGGGCCAATTTTAGCCTTGAACGCATCTGGTAATTTAAAAGGCCCTTTGCAAAAATCCCTAAATCCCGAGCGCGCCGCGCGGCGAATAATGGGAGTCCTCGGTACGCCCCTTCTCCCGCTACCACGTGACCACGTGGCACACGCGAGCAGGCGCAAGTTACCACGGTAACAACTTTTGAGCAGACTTGTCGGGCGAGTGACGAGCCAACGGTTGCCCCTTTCCTTCCTCATCGCTCTCCTTTCTACCGGCTCTGTCGTCTGCTGCGCCAACGCTTTGTCGAACCTGGTGGAAATCTGCTACGGTTGCGGTGCAAAACAAGTTGATTCGGTGACACTTCAATACGTGAAGGTAAGTTACGACGAATGAAGTATTGAAATAAGTTCACCTGTCGCGATGCCTTTACGCTGCCACAGATACGGTACGCCGTCAACGACGTACGACTCGGCGGATGGACGGGATGGCGGATGGCTGCAACGGCTGCTGGCGGTAACTGCCGGGGCACGCGCGCAGTCGCGGAGGCGCAGCGAGAAAGCCCGTGATCTGTACCGAGGGTTCCCAAGATTCCCTGCCGTCGTGGCGCTCTACGTTTTGCAAAGGGTCTATTCATCACAGGACGTCTACCACCGTCAGTCAGTCATCTATTTTTTTAGAACATATCACTAAGACATCACTTCATTAAAATTTATATTAGTTTATACGCATGACCACCATATGCTTATCGCCTAGTGACAAATCAGTTAAATATATATTCGCGATCAAATATGGTAACAATATGATATGGGTTTAAGATTCGAGTTGACACATCTCGTCAACCAATACCTGGCTGTGCAATTTGGCATACAGAACATCTGCTAAATAACCTAAACGCCCCCGGTCGGCCATCACTATAGGAATCACAGGAATGGTGCTGCTTCAGGTACCTAGCTATTGGTAATTTTTACCAATTCAATGGCTGCCCAGTTTTGAGTGCAATCTCGAGTCACCCTGAACAAGCGCGGTGTGGAGGCAAAGGACCTGACATATTACTTTTACGATTTCGCATCAATGTCACCGCTTTTCATACAGTGCATGCGATCCACCCTTCAGCCTGGCTGAACTGCGGAAATCTCTTTCAATATTATCATTCTCGTGCAGATTCAAAAATGCTGATATTAAGTTACAAACGCTAAAAATGCAGTAAACAGCAGCTCTGACTCAGACCTAAATCCTGGTTTTGATTGTAGTCAATTTTCGGCTTGTTAAGCAAGTGATCTTAAAAAAACGCAATCACGAGATACTAACGTGAGAGATTTATGCAGCGTAGCCAGGTTGTAAGGTGGATTGCAAGTACAATATTCAAAACGTAATATATGTAAATATATTATGTTTTATATATTTATATTTATAATATATATAAATATAACATAAGTATTCAACAAAAAAATTTAAGAGGGATATGACAGGTCCTTGAACTCTACACGACGCTTGTTCAGGGTGGCTTGGATTTCACTCAAAAGTGTGTACAAATCGGTCAAAACTATCGAAGAATAATAAGCAGAAGGACCACCGTTCCCATAATTACTCGAGGGCCACTTAATTGCATACGCAAGAAGCATTGTAACTATTTCTGCATTTTGCAATATAGACACTGTAATATTGAATACTGAAACTTCAGCAACTTGCACACCAATCTGTTTAGCAAGCTAAGTTCCATGGACGTAAGTACCTGATCATCCTGCAAGAGTCGTTAGAATTCGTTTGCATGTTGTTCCATTTTATGTATTTCTTTAGTCTTCTTTATTGCCACCTTTGCTGTATCTGTCAGTTCAGACGATTTCGAAACCGATGCTTATGAACCTTATCCTTTCATCCGTATTAAACGAGCGGGATGCATTTACCTTATGCTAAGACGCCCTGCGTACTACGTTTGCCCCTGTGCTAATCGTCGGCATATAACGCTGGGCTAAATCAAATAACCGTAAATATGTTTATGCTATTTTACCTCCAGTACGGCGGTTTTGCAGCGGAGGGGCAACAAATTAAGCTGGAGACATTTCTTTTTAGTCTCTATATACCAGAGTCTGCATAATCTCTAATTGGTCATGCTGTGCTTGGCCAAGAATATTGGACTAGAGACTTTTCACCGATGTCGCCTTCTGAATTTCTGCCAGGCGAAATCTATATTTACTGTGGTATTAAAGTGAAAAACTTAGTAACACACCTCCAAGATAAAGAAAGAGGAACCAAAGCCTCAGATTCTGGACTGTTTCATGGTGGTTGCACAATTCTGTAATTGCTGCCGGTCGTCAAAACCACACGAGGCATTTAAATTGTCACCATTTTGAGCTTTATAATGACACTATTTTTGAATCAACTTTTCGGCAGAACAGCGTCACCTGGAGTTTCGAATCTAACTTTATGAATATTACCAATCGGAAGGACGAATGGTAATGTGGAAGTAAGGTAAAAGGAAGATATTGCGCGCATACCAATTAGTGGCGATCTTCGTTAAAGTAAAAAAAAAAATTGTTTGCATTGCATCCCACGAAGGCAAGCATGCAGGCATTTGCAAGAATATACTACGAATCTCAAAATTCGCTATGATGTAAAACGACTAATCCTGGGCTCTCCAAGCATGTGTGATATAGGTTACAGTTGACATCCGTGAAAAAGGCACAGAAAACAGGAAAAGGCCTAAGACGCAACCCAAAAAGTACTTAGGATCTCTACCTACTTGTAAGTTGCCTTGGCTTCAAAATATGAGTAGATGTTGTGCACGAAGTAATGGGGTGCGATGTGGTGGCGGTCGCTCATGCAGAGAGTCCTGGTGTAGAGCGGTTCTCCGCCAGGAACGTACGGGGGATGATCGAGCCTGTCCGCTGTCGGACAACCGTCCGCATGACCGTTGTAGAAGTTGGACGGCTCGTTCATGTCCTACAATTAGGGGCAATATAATCTCCATTAAAGCTGTACGTTCTACAAAATGGCATTTATATTTTTACGTTGAGATATTTGGACACCTCAAAACTAACAATTGGACAATCGTAATAAAAGCAAAATAAAAATGTGATCATTAAAATAAGTATTGTACGCATCATGCCGTTTTCTTCACAAAAATATTTTTTTTCATGGTTTTTTGTAATTGTTTGTGCCGAGCAGATGAGCACATAGATAGTTCCTTTCCCAGCTATATTCTTACACTTCATAGCCGTATTTAGTTTCTCTTCAAACATTAACAATGGTTAGAGAGAGTAGCTTATAATACATCACAATTTAACTCCTGCCTTAATATATTCAGTTCACACTTTCTCCGCAATTATAAGGAGTTAATGTACATTTGACAGATGCATTCTCCAGATGTTATGCAACCGTCAAAGATATATCTCAAGTACCACCTATACTATTTCAGTAAAACGATTCATGTGGTATACGTTGACAGCATGAATCAGACTCATTTATTTATTGTTTAATAGTCCTCCTTGCAATTAACAATCATGATGACAAAATTATTAACATATCGTAGTTCACATAATCTGCCAAGATCATACCAACGCGTTGAATTTCTTTGCACCCTCTGCTTAGACCTTTCGAATCGATGATTCGCAAACACAAATAGTCTGTTCTAATAAATTACCGCATAAAAATAACCTCCCAAATAATCTTGCATTCAATTGAACTGAGGCGTGAGAAGAGAGATTATTTGTCATCTTATCTTCCACTATTCGAGATTCTCAATATTCATTATATTGAAGAAAGTCTAGTCAATTTCTCACACCATATCCCAAACTTTTGTGGACAACAGAGTCTCGGTGCATGAACTAACACGATAATTTCCACTGAACAGCAAATATCGCAATGTTCCCCGGGAATAATATAGATGACAGTCAAATAATATATATAGGCTTTAATGAAACTTTTGGGCGGATATAGTTTTAATTCCATGGCACTAATCATGTTTTTCGCATTGAAGCCTATGTGTTACATTCGTAAAATTGCCAATTTGTGCATTTCTTGACGAAATATCGTAGTGTTCCCGAGCACTATAATTGCTTGGCCATCATAAAACGCAGTTTAATAAGAATGTTCCTGTTTCCTTTAAAGCTTTTGTATCCCACGGATCCTCCCAGAAAGTTGACCATGTATTAACACGATGAAGAAATGTGGATGAGTCCAAGGAACTAGGGCCAATAAATAAGCTCCTCTTTAGGGAAATGACACATCAGATAGTGCGTTGCTTGGCGTCATTGTTTCCAGTTAGTCATCTGAAGTTTCATTTAGGTTCGGAAAACAAAAACGCTTTTTTGTCTTTTAGCAATGTTAAAACAGTCATCAAAACGGAAAAAAAAATCTCTGAGCCTCTTCACACCATTTCTAAAGCTCTAAAATTTGCATTTTTAATAGTAGTAACCATTGACGATTGCGCCTAAAGTGCACCAGGGACAAAAATGACTTCGCCAACAAGGTAATCTTTGTAAGAAGTGCTTCCGGAGGCTCCAATAAGAATGATTCAGCCAACTCACAATCCATGCCCCGTCGAAAGGAACGACGTTATGGAAGTTCTTGAACTGCTGAGCCCAGTACTCCTGGGCCTTTGGGTGTGTGAAATCTGGAAACACGCTACTCTTGTCGTTCCACACCTGCAGCGGTCCAAGACACATCGATCATTGGGTTGTTCTTCACAAAGTAACCCTATTTTTGAGTCATTTCAACTTCAAACTTCCGAAATATGAGCTTCACGCCTGCATAAGCAAGGCCTAACGTTTAAACCAAGAATAATTCAAGTGCACGCAGGAATAATATAATAACAAACATTTTCGAATCTCCTTGATATCAGATTAAAACTTTTAAAATAAAATTGGTGGTTTCAGGACGCCATCTTAAATACAATACATATTATTTTATTTTTAATACACTTCTCTCTGTACCCACATAATAGAATAAGGCTTGTGCGTCTGACACGGCAGGAAACTAGCAACCATATTTTTGTTTAGTTTCAACACATTTTATGAGTTTAATCAAACAAACAGATTGAAAAAAGAAGCGGATAACGCACTGATACACAATAACAGTTGGAACGGGCCTCTATTAGGTACACACTGCTATGTACTGATACACTCAATCCGTTGTTTTAATAGTGAATACAATTCATATCGTGGTTACGGCCGTACGTAGGTAAAGTTCCTTATTAAATGTCAATTGTTTTGATGTCTTTGTGTATTGATCCATCGTCTTGCAATGTCTTTTTTTTAATTTCATGCGGGTATTGGCAATTTGTCAACTATTCAGGTAACTGGTTAAAACATTTTGGCACTTAATAGTTTGTAGTAGCCTCTACACACTTTGTCTTTATTAATACTTCAAAATATTTCCTATTTGACCTTAATCTTCTTTCTTTAGCAGTTTCTATTTTGTGGTAACTCTTTAAAAATAATTTTATAATTCTATCGTTTTTTAATTGATCACTGAAGTAAAATACACATAGGTCTTTATGTATATCATCTATTGGATCGTTTCCTTTTTTTGATTTTGCAACCAACTCTTCTGAATGTATGTTCTTGGAGAGTTTTAACTTTTATTTGGAGGTTTTGGCACAGTGCTCGTAAAGAGTTATTCAATATTGTATTACAGATTTTCTTAATGGGTGATAAAATCATTTTATGTACACAATGGGGGCCAATGTCTTGGATGTGAAACGTATAAGCCATCAATGTCCTAAATCTTATCCATACTTGCTCTATGTGAGAGTACCGTTTTTACTTACATATCAAGGTATTTTTACATTTTTTAGCATAATGAACTGCTAGGGATGAACAGTTATTACAATTTTTATCATGTATTTTAATGGGTAATTAAGTTAAAAGTATTTTTCTAGGGTCTCTAAGTACATTATTTAAGGTTTGGAAGTATTTACGATAATCTGATTTTTACAGTACCATTCAAAAATATGGTGAATGCCTTCCTTTACTTCTCCAACGGCGACTTCATGACTTTTATGGCCGTATACAGGGATGGGCGAAATACAATGACAAAATACTTCATCAAAAATGTATTTAATTACAATCCTAATTACATTTCCAAAAAAACATTTAAGTACAAGATACAAATACAATGAAATGTATTTGGTCTCCTCCAAATACTTTTCCAAATACATTGCTCAAAATTTGCGTCAGCGGTTTCAGGGCACCTGCAACGGGTTTCTGTGTAACTCATTTTAATTTTGCATCGCACACTCGGCAGTTAGTGTGCGAGGCTCTAATGACGTAATAGAAATATAATCGCAAAAAAATGTAATCAGCTTGGATGTAATAGGTGAAAAAAGTACAGAGCTTCAAGCAGCAGATTTTTTTGTCGATTACATTTTGGTACAGACCAACAAAGAACCGAGACGACCAAAACGCACAGCACAAGCTAGAGAATTTTTTATCGTTGCAGCTCGCACCACTTGCGAAAATCTGGACGACCCGCGCATTTAGAATGTTCGAGAGAAAAATATGGATGGAAAGCAGGCTGGAAAGCATCACACGTTGTCACAGGCACTTATTTAGCCAGTCGGCCCGTGAACGTCGATTTTGTCACTATTCTTGCCCTGGACTAGCACCGCCATCACAACGTCACTAAACGCTTGTGCTTGATTGAGAGACACTGCATTCGGTGCAGAGCGTAGTTTTTTTTTTCGTGCTCTGGTCAGTGACAATAAATTTGAGCGATGTATTTTCGCCCACAAAAATTGTATTTAAATACAATTGTATTTGAAATACCCACGTTTTAGTATTTAAATACACAGGTCAAATACATTACCCAATTTTAATTAAATACAAATGCAAAATACACAAAGTATTTGAAATACGTATTTCAAATACTTGTATTTGAAATACTGTCCATCTCTGGACGTATACATTACTGTGTCATCTGCGAACTGGATTTGTTTGCTTGTTAGTTTTACCTGAGCAATCTCATTGACTAATGAATTAAAACGTAGAGGACCCAGTACTCTACCTTGCTGTACTTCTTGTTTTACCCTAATTGCTTTAGTATATTGAAATCCTAGTCGCTCTATTTTATATTTGTCTAGAAGATAATTTTCTAACAAGTCATGTACGTTTTTCCGAATCCCTAAGCTGTACAGTTGACCTGATGAAATAGAGTGATTTATAGTTTTAAACTCCCGTGTAAAATCTTCAAAAACAGCTAACACATATTTTGTACAGTGAAGGTTTTCGTATACATAATCAAAACAACCCTGCAGAAAAAGTGAAGTTCCCATTTTTTTTGTGAAACCATATCGCGTGTCAATTATGATATTATATTTCCCGATAACACTCCCAAGTATGTTAGTGATGTATTTTTACAGTATATGATTAACTACCAAGAGTATACAAACATGTCTATAATCAAGAAATTTATTTTTCTTGCCCTTCTTGTATATTGGGCGAAAAATAGTCTCATCTTTTTAGAAATGATATAACTTGATAATATGCAGATTTAGAACCTAATGATAGCTGAATCAGAACTGTTTTCATAATGTGGATGTGGCATTTAAGGTCCCTTGTCCTTGTTTTGTCGTATCCCACAGCTTTATTGGTTGTATTTTTTATGCAATATCGTTTATTTTTGTCATTCTCCGTGACCCGTAATGAACAAACTGTACTTATCTCAATCGATTTTTGAACAGTAGGGGTTGGAATTATTGTAAATTATGCGTATACTGATGTCCAGAGGTGCACATAATTATATTTATTTTTATAACCTTGTAAGGCTTTATCTCAACAAATACCTTTGCTGAATTGATCAAGTGTTTAAAATCAGGATATCTAATTGAACAAGAATACCAGCTGGTATCAGAGCAATCTATTATTGTAGAAAGACAAAAGTATACACTGAAGAACATTTAAAAAAAAATAATTTCAACAACCCTTGCTTTTAACATCCTACAATACATGAAATGAAGTGTGTAAGTAATCAAGTTAATATATTCAGAAGATCATACTATACAATCTTGTATAGTAAAAGTCACGTCACATCTTGTCGCGAGACGTTAATTTTTCCGATAACTATAGCAGGGAAACTACATTGGTCTGCAGTTCACTTGACGTCAGATTACAAGATATCCACTCCCCCCACCCCCAATTTAGCAGAGAAAATGAATTGGCGTATAAGTAACGTGACGCCATGTCACGTGACATCCATCTTCCCGCCAAATTTAGCGGTGAAATTGATTTCGAGTATTGATCATGCGAACTCAATCTTTCCTCTAAACTTAGCGGGGAAACGGAGTTGGTGTATAGTTGATTTGACGTTAAAGTTTCCGCTAAGTTTAATGGGTGAACTGAAGTGGTCTGTATGCCCCGTGCCATCAGGTCAGGTGACATCGAATTTCTCGCTAAATTTAGTGGGGAAACCCAATTTTTGTAGAGGTCACGTGACATCAATTGCCCCGGTAAATTTTACGAGATATGCACGGACAAACGGACGGACGGACACAATTTTGGGATTGGAGGTAGCGTTAAAAAACATTTTATGCTTTAAAATAAAGACTACAAACGAACTTCTGTTATGGGGACTATAGGCCTGCTCTGTTCATATAGCGCTTCAAGTTACGCGTGTATGTTATTTAAACTAAAGGGGTTGTCTTCAAAAGGAATCTTAACGCTATAGCGTTTAGGAGCTCGTCTCCCAGAAAATCCGGCGCCGGCGTCGGCGGGAGCGAAAAATCCCATAATGCAACGCTCACCACCACGCGTGTCACACGTGACGTCACACGCGGCTGCACGCTTTGCATTACGAAATCAACCCGCTAAACTTCGCGGGAAAATTTCCCCTCCAAATTTATGAAAAATCTTTAACGCCATGTTTAGCGGAAAATTTTCCCGTCAAATCTAGCCGAAAAATACATTCTTCCAGATTTATCGAAAATGTTTCCGACAGATTTAGCAGGTCAATAAGGTTATGACATCACTGCCACGTGTGACGTCACGTGACACCTGATGCTACCGGCTAGACCGCGTAAACAATATGATTGCACGGCAGAGCAACGAGCACACGTCTGTATCAGAAGGCTTTGCGAACAAAAACCGATCACGCTATCGCATTCTACTCTTAAAGGCCAAACTTAAGCGTTCTCCAAGTTTTTATGGTCACGTTTTTGTTGCTCTGCGGCTGTGTTAAGTGCTTTCTGCCCCTGGCAGACGGCGTATTAACGGTTCTTTTCACTAAGCTCCTTTAAGAAATCTACCAATCAGCATGCGATGTTGAGTGCGCAAGTGCCCTATACGGCGCGCGCTTGTTCGCCAATTTTATAAAAGAGCTTGTTTTATAGGCCGTTAAAATGTCCGTCTGACAGGGGTATTATATTTAGAGCACTTAGAACCAAAAGGTTGGTTCCAGAAAACCGCTTTTTTTTCCCGGTAAACCACTTTCCGGCATGTTGAGAATGAGCGTCCGCCACTTTAGCGATTTGCATAGAGGCAGATGCTTAGTTATTGGCGCCGTGTTTGGTGTTGTTGGACAACGAAAGCATGGCGAATGGCTCCGTCGACAAAATAAATCAGAAATTAATATAGTGGACGTATTTTGGTTGCATAAATTCAAGTTTATTACAACTTGTTTCCTTTAGGAATCGCGCGGTCGGCATCTACTGGAGCCATTATGGCCGCCAACAGGTTATTTTCGATCGCCAACCCATACGCCGTACGAATAAAGACCGGTATGTACCTAAAATCGAGTATCAGATGATGCTCCTTCGTGCCGCTGACTACTCCGGCAGATGCAGTCAATCATGATACTAAAATACTCGACCGAGATAGAAAAAGCCACCTCCGCGCATGAGCAGATAAAGTTCATAAACATCGTGTCTGGCGAGATTCCGAGCAGGAAGTGAGTCACGTGAAACCTCCCAACGGCAATTTTTGTTACTGACCTTGGCATAGACCACGCCTCCGGACATGTTTTTCACGAAGATGTCCATTTCCATGCCCTGGTCGTAAGGGGGGTACGTTCCGGGTGGCTCGGAACCACTCACAGCAGGATCCTGAAGGAAACGTTACGGTTACTGGGTGTTTTCCGATTTCAACGTTGTTACCCAGAAACGGCCCTGCAAGTATTCCTATATTGAAATTGCAAAACTTTAGTTAGGTCTAATATACTTATTAGTTTTACGACATCGAAGCTCGAGGAGCGTATCCACTCTGAGCTCCATTTCAACTCTGTTATATATTTGTTGAGCAACACATGGGTGTTAGATATACGAAACTTTTTTTTATATTGTCTTCTTGGCAAGAACTTAAAAAAAGACCCTTAAGTCCCGCCGCAGTTGGCGCTTTAATCGTGTGCAGCCAATCAAGCAGTGCTAAAAGTGCAGCGTCACGGCATTTAATATATGTGTGGGTTTGCAATCGGCAACTAAACCAATCACGCACAGTGATTGCCCATTGATTCTTCGCTTTTTGCTGTGGATGATTGGTTTAGCAAGGTAAACTCCAACCCACAAAGAACAAAAAAAAAAAATAGCGTCCTGACAATGCACTTTTACCGAGGACTGATTTGCTCCATCAAATCATAGCCACACGAACACAAAGCAGCGAGCTATACCACGTGAACCCTACCTCGAACTGGTTCGGTGTAATTACAATGAAAATTAAAACACATTCGCAGCAGACCAGCATGTTAAGAGATTACCAACGTTTTAGTAGCGACGGTGTTTGCTGTATCGAATGGGCTCGCTGGAATACCACCTCGGTTTGTTCGGAGCAGATTGCGTGGACCCCTCTAGCAGGCGCTGAAACTGCTTGGGTATGCTTTTGCGTCCCGCTGTACTAAATGTGTTCTTTTCACACGCTCCTAGGCATTCGACTGAGAGCTCGTGTTCATATACATTATTTTATAACTCTCCATTGTTGCGTTATTTAAGACATAACGAAAAAAATTTTACCTGAAATACTCATGTAGAAGTAGCCGCACATTAATCAACCGATTTCTGTCAGGTAACTGCTTTTTTTTTTTTTTACTTTTTGAAACATCTTATTTATGAAAAGGCAGTGCAGAACATCGGTTTCTATAGTTAGCTCTCTTCCATTAATCAATTAGTAGTCGTCCTTTAAGAATCTGTAGGTTTCGTTTATTTTTATGTAGATTAATAAGTTTCTTGGCTATTTACGTCTTCTTCTAACAAGGCGTTGTTAAAGTTTGCAACGTGCAGGGCGCGACATTGTTAGCGCTAACAGGACATCGGTGTTTAATTTGCATTTTTATCGGAGCACATACAGACGGACACTAAACTTTACGACTAAGATTACTGCCCTCGGCCTCTAAAACTCGTGAAACCCAAAGTTGAAGCCGAAGTTGACGGAGCGCACCGATTGGCCTGTCACGACAATTAATTCTCGCTTTCTTCGCCGACTCGAAAGTTCGGCGCCACCCTTGTGTTTGACGATTTTAGTGCCCTTGAAAGAGAATTAAGCGCAACAGTGGGTATTTTTATATGAGGTGTGTAATTTCAAGTGAAAAAGAGAGAAATGATGGCGGGCGCCTCGTTTTGAATAACAAGTACACCATGTACATAGAGAAATATACACTTCGAGTACTGGCTGATCGCCACGTTAAGTTCATATATATATATATATATATATATATATATATATATAATCTTTTTTGCACATATGTTTCACTTTCCACCACTCACCACAATTACGACGTAGTGGCGGCCACCAGCGTGCAGATCATTCACGAAGTCTGGGAGGCCGTTGAACCTTTCGTCGTCGTAGGTGAAGTCGTTCTGCCGTACCATGTAATCAATGTCGTTCCACTGCGTGTCCTGGAAGTCAAGAATCACATTCCAAGATGCTTGATTTCAATCCCCCACAATTTTACCGGTAGACCACAACTGGGCATGGTTTATCTCTGACGTATCAAAATAAAACCCGAAATTATCAAAAGCTTATGCTTCCATAAGAGACTGGACACGTAGGCTTCCAATCTGAAGCTTTCAGGAAATTACTTCCAAGTTTCTTTCTGACTGCAACCCTTCGTCCATGCGTTTTTTTTTTTTTTTTACATCCCTATTGAAAAAGATTACTTGACCCATACGATCCATATGCAGTGCTTTGTTAAAGAACAACACGATATTCAATGCGAATTTTTAATAATAAAAACACCCAAATTCAATTTAAGATTCAGCTGCGGGTGTCTACCCCACATTTCCAGTGAGGTCAGATGGCAGATACTGCGCATTGTTTTCTTCCACTTGAATTTAATAATTTTACCACTGACCGATCTCACCGGCCAGTTTGACTATTCCACCGCCGGCGCAATGCATTGAGTTAACTTCAGTATTTGAGCACACGCGATAAACATACTGGAGCCCTGCGCGAGCAGATCACGAAACGGCGCAAGACGTCTCGAACACTGCCCCCTGCCTTGTGTGAACTAACGTTATAACCACCTCACGTATGCGAGAATATTTGGTGAGATCGGTCTGTTACTGATAATTTAATTAAATTAACCTGACTTAGGCTGCCGGCAATATATTTTTTTTCTTCAGGCGTGTGAAACCTGCATAAGATACAGGAAATTCCATGGAAATAATAATATATTGCCAAATCCACAAAACAAAAAACTATATAATTTTGATATTTTTCTTCATATGGGTCTTTCGAAAGGTTTTATGGAATATGGGTCGTAAAAGTGGGTATGCATTTTTTAGCGGTGTGTATGATTACAATCTTTTTAATTGTTGATGCACATAATATATTACATATGTCAAGCACACAGCGATGTATACCTGCGCAAACCCGTTTCCAATGATCAGGGGCACAAGTCGAGAACCCTAATATTTCCTAACAAAAAATAGTACCTACTTAAAGCTCCTGGAAATAAATTGAATACAGAGGCCTAGAAATAAAGTGGTAGCTGTACCACGCGACGCCTCTTAAGGAGTGACAACATCCTGGGCTGGTTCAGCCTCGGTTATTGAGTGGTCTAAGTGGTCGAGAAGCTTCAAGCTCAGGAAAATTGTAAACGTTTGTGTGTAGTACAGTACTTTCTGGGATCGATTGGTGAGGTTACTACAAATATCTCTGCCTCCCGCTGGACCTAAACACGAGCCAGGGAGCGCAAAACTACCAAGCTGTCAGCTAAGACACCTAGCCGATACAGACACAAAAGTAATATAGTTTTTTTTTTGCTTTGTTTTACTGTTGGCAGCAACGTATTTGACACGGGAGCGCCAGCGGAAATGACTTGCTGCGTCTTCTGACAGCACGTCGCCGTTCTCAGGTAAAAACGGTTTGCTCATGGGCGTCCTTTCGTGCTTGACAGTAACGTTTTTTTTTTTTCTTTCTTTTTTATTACTGACTTTAGTCACACGCAAATGAAATAACTGGAACCGGCGAAAAATTCCGCTTAGCCAGCCGTCGTGCCGCCTGTCTGCATAATCCACCAGGATGGATGGCAAAGCTTTCGTCTTCGTATACCGGATACACCTTGCGCCGGTTTCTGTTGCCTCGTAAGCATCAAATAAAAGCGAGTAAAAAAAAACATTACAGCGAGCACGAAAAGGAAGCACATCAAAGCATGAGTCTTGGGAGCTTCCGGGCACTGTCGGAAAGCGAAGCAAGTCATTTTTTTTTTTTTGGCACGTGTTTCAGAAATTTTCACCGGCGTCTGTACAAGTGTTCTAATTTCCCACAATTTTTCGTCTCACAAAAAAAACGAGTGTTCGCAAAAATCAAATAAAGTAACCATCGTCTCATTTACTGTACTGTACGCTAGATCCACTTTATATGATAACCATATACTTCTTGCGGTTCTAGTATTCGCGAGTAGCAATCTATATCGACGTTCCAATTTCAAAAAAAGAAAAAAGAACTCAAAATGGGCCGAAGAAAATATGAGAAAAAAAAAGGGAGGGGATAACGTAAGAAGTTCAGGGTGCAAGTTCGACAGCAACATAAACTGAAAGCGCAACGTCGCGATCCATTCTCAGAAGCTGTCTGTCTACCATGGAAAGAGGCTTTCGTTGACATCAAGTTCCGGTGAAACTCCGGCGTGCTTACCAGAGGAATCCCAGCTTCGATGTTCTTCTCCATGATAAAGCGGGTCCTGTTGAGAGTCCCGTACCCAAAACGGCACAGGTGAAAGCCGAGGCCCCAATAAGGGGGCATGGCGGGAAAGCCGACCACGTTCTGGTACTGCTGCACCACTTTGGCCGGAGTCGGACCGACGAAGACAAACATGTCCAGGATGCCGCCGATGGCCCGGAATGTGGCTGCGGGTGCAGGCTGCAACACCACCTCTGGAAAAGCAACAGCCATGTTTGTTCACTTAATCTGATATGTAAAATTACCATTGCAGTAACCCTTATCTTCAAAGTCCCATGATCCATAAAACGCGGAGTTTAAGACACGACTTTTTTTTAAAATTTCGTTGTAAAATATTAGACAGCCGACTCCGAAAGGGGAGCAAAATATCTACTTGCTTAACTTCCCAGATGAATCCGACGCGTAAATTGGGAAGTAATAGCGTTGCTTGACCTTAGGTTATCTGACTTGGTCACCTGACTTGACGTCACGGTCACGTTGCACGTCTTCATACGAGCTCACGTTGCGTCTCATCACTCTTTCCGTTACATTCGGGGTGTCGCAATTTATACCATGACGACCCATACCATTTTCCAACAACATTTATCGAAAAAATTGACGTTATGTGATCTGACTTCACGGGAAGTGTCCACATACGGTGACATCACAATATCAGCGTCGGTGTCAGGGGTTACCCTAACGTGACATGCTTTTAATTTCCCCGCTAAATATGCCTAGAAAATGCGGAGACGGACGAACGAATGGACGGACAGAGAAAAAGAGATATGGGATCATGGTGTTCCTTTAGAACGCATTACTGTGCTTTTATAAGACACTTATTAAGGGTCGCTGCGAGGACAAACTATTGTGAAAGAAACCCATGAATGCATCATACGCCTCGGTAAAGTCAGATATCCTCGGTGTTCTCGAGCGACCTATTGTGTCTAAGCAAAACATTATGTTCACTTTCTACTGGTCGGCGACCAGGGGCCGAAAGAGTCGCACGACAGCTTCGCAAAAATATTATTTATTGTTTGCGCTACATAGACACGGAGCGGCGTTTGGAAAGCAATGTGTGCTGCAGTTGATGATGCTTAGGCAATATTTCAAAACTCAACGCGCCCTGCGTAGAGTTTAAGGGACATCGAATAATAGTCATGTGGATCGCAGATATGACTTGATGCATATTGTTTTACAGGTTCGTCTGTATAAATCCGGACGTTTTCCAGTTTTTCTCTCAACGAGACAGAGCAGCTAACCGGCCATATTTCGTTTTTGCGGCCGCTTGATTTGGTAGTGAACCACGGCCTAATAGACAACTCGCGACTTTCTATAAAATGAGCACAAAATAAGACCGGAGGGCAGCAATATTTGATTCCCTTTGCGCCTGAAAGTGGTGTAAGCAAACCATCGCTTGCTAAGGCTACAAGACGACACAAGTTTACAGCATTGCTAAGATTTTCAGAGAATCTGTCAGTCAGGGAGTCGTTACGGCAGACAGGACAATGCAAAAAAACGACCAGTAATAATGTTTTTTTTTCTGCCTCTGTGTGTTTACATGAATATCGTGAATTTTTCGGATTTATCTCGCCGACCATATATTTTTTTATCGTGGAATAGAATGTTTGCCTCCAAGGGTAATTCTTAGACAGCTATGTACTTTTACGGAGAGATGTAACCACACGTAGATATATAACGTCGCGAAGAGAGAGAATTTTTTTTTTTTTTTTGGCTAAGCGCAGTGAAAATACTTTCCCCCGTAATTGAGGCAGAGTTTACTGCCAAATTGAACGGCAAAACTTAGACACGTCAAAGAACACGAAACCACGTTCTAATCAAGGCGCGTGTAAACACACTCTTGGTTCATGGGAAATTGTCTAGAGCCTAACTGCTTTATCTTTCTTTTGTGAATTTTTTAAAAATAATTTTATTAAATCTATTAAGAGGCGGTAATAACCACCTCGCTGTTTAGCTCACCCATTGAGTTGCTGTTGTGCAGGAAGACACCGTGGCTCTTGCCATCTTCTTCAAGCCCCAGATAAAACGGATGTGTCCCGTACAGATTTCTTGTTCCCTAAAGACAAAAAAAAAAAAGCTTCATTACATGCCCATCTTGAAGGACGCCAGTTGGTCACAACAAAATAATAATTCCACAAGCTGTGCAGAAATAGATATGATATTTATGAGAAACGTTAAGTCGCTTTACAGTTTTCGCACCAAATTGACGCAACGCACAGCGGTCAGCATTGTAATTGTAATAACCCGTATCCAGGGATGGGCAAAATACACGCAAATATGTATCGAACTACAATGGCAAAATACTTCATCAAAAATCTATTTAATTACAAATCTAATTACATTTCCAAAAAAGCATTTAAGTACAAGATACAAATACAACCAAATGTAAATGGTCCCCTCCAAATACTTTCCCAGATACATTCCTCAAAATTTGCGTCATTGACTTCAGGGCACCTGCAACGGGTTTCTGGGTAACTCATTTTAATTTTGCATCGCACACTAGGGAGTTAGTGTGCGAGGCTCTAATGACGTAATAGAAATATAATCACGAAAAAATGTAATCAGCTTGGTTGTAATAGGTGAAAAAAGTACAGAGCTTCAAGCAGCAGATTTTTCTGTCGATTACTTATTGGTATAGACCAACGAAGAACCGAGACGACCAAAACGCGCAGCACAAGCTAGAGAATTTTTTATCGTTGCAGCTCGCACCACTTACGAAAATCTGGACGACCCGCGAATTTAGAATGTTCGAGGAAAAAATATGGATGGAAAGCAGGCTGGAAAGCATCACAAGTTGTCACAGGCACTTAGGCAGTCTGCCTGTGAACGTCGATTTTGTCACTATTCTTGCCCTGGACTAGCACCGTCATCACAATGTCACTAAACACTTGTGCTTAATTCAGAGACACTGCATTCGGTGCAGAGCGTAGTTTTCTTCCTGCTCTGGACAGTGAGAATAAATTTGAGCGATGTATTTTTCCCACAAAATTGTATTTAAATAGAATTGTATTTGAAATACCCACGTTTTAGTAGTTAAATACACACGTCAAATACATTACCCGATTTGTAATTAAGTAGAAATGCAAAATACACATGGTATTTCAAATACTTCTATTTAAAATACTGCCCATCCCTGCCCGTATCGCAAGGTGACTAAAACCGTCAACAGCCAAAACAAAGTTGAATGCAGTGAAATGCAGCCGTGGGAATGGGGCACCAAACTGACGCTTAAGCGGTGCCATCGTGACGTTTGCATTGATCATACAATTGCGATGAAGAGTAATCTACACTTAAAGGCCAGTCGCTGCAACATACAAATTGAGCGACTCGGTGAAATGTTAATTTTAAAAAGAAACGATATGTGTCATAACGTTTCACAGGTGTATGGGCGCGACGAATACTGCAGAGCAGATTTTAATATTGTGTCAACAATTCATGGACAGGCTTTTCTTTTGGCTCTTCGAAAAGACCTGCTTGCAAGTATTCTTTGCGCTTACACACAAAAAAAAACCGCAAAAAACGCAACTCACTTTTTCTCTCTACGCATAGTATAATTTACTCGACTTACTCCTCGAATAATGAAGTCTGTAGCCTCAAAAAATCTGCAATTCGCAGTAGCGACAATTCAGCCATTTTTCTTCCCTAACATCGTTGCTACCAGTACCCGACCCTACATCCTAGATATTTGGAATCGCGTCTACGGAGCCCCAAATGCTAAAACTGTCCGTGACGGCACGAAGTTGTGTTGATTGAGCATCCTGCCAAGGTATCTAAAGCTAAGGAAGTCGCATTTTCAGTTTGTAAAGCATTGCCAATAGACCATTTTTAAAACTCGGCGCAACACCAGTCCACGATTGGTCGATCACTGACTCTGAGCATGGATGGGCAGTATTTGAAATACATATTTCAAATACTTTGTGTATTTCGCATTTGCATTTAATCACAAATTGGGTAATGTATTTGACGTGTGTATTTAAATTCTAAAACGTGGGTATTTCAAATACAATTGTATTTAAATACTATTTTGTGGGAAAATACATCGCTCAAATTTATTGTCGCTCTCCAGAGCAGAAAGAAAACTACGCTCTGCACCGAATGCAGTGTCTCTGAATTAAGCACAAGCGTTTAGTGACTTTGTGATGACGGTGCTAGTCCAGGGCAAGAATAGTGACAAAATCGACGGTCACAGGCAGACTGCCAAAATAAGTGCCTGTGACAACTTGTGATGCTTTCCAGCCTGCTTTCCATCCATATTTTTCCCTCGAACATTCTAAATGCGCGGGTCGTCCAGATTTTCGTAAGTGGTGCGAGCTGCAACGATAAAACAGACTCTAGCTAGTGCTGCGCTTTTTGGTCGTCTCGGTTCTTTGTTGGTCTATACCAATAAGTAATCGACAGAAAAATCTGCTGCTTGAAGCTCTGTACTTTTTTCACCTATTACAACCAAGCTGATTACATTTTTTGTGATTATATTTCTATTGCGTCATTAGAGCCTCGCACACTAACTCCCGAGTGTGCGATGCAAAATTAAAATGAGTTACACAGAAACCCGTTGCAGGTGCCCTGAAGTCGCTGACTCAAATTTTGAGGAATGTATTTGGAAAAGTATTTGGAGGGGACCAAATACATTTGGTTGTGTTTGTATCTTGTACTTAAATGCTTTTTTGGAAGTGTAATTAGATTTTTAATTAAATACATTTTTGAAGAAGTATTTTGTCATTGTATTTCGATACATATTTGCATGTATTTTGCCCATGCCTGACTCTAAGCATCTGTTGGAAACAAGTGCTGCGACAGCGTTCGGAGTCAACCCGGCATAGCTCGTATTGAAAACGAGCGCTTTCGTCAGCTTTCGGCGAGGACTCGTATCCATTCACGCACTTCGCGTGCAAGATATGGCAACCGCCAATTTCGCTTAGCGGATTTTCGAAAAGTCTATTCCGTCCGCTCTGCACTCGGTAACAAAATGGTGGCGCCCACAAGACAATTGGTAGAGGGAGACCGCAGACCATGAAGCGTGCCATCTTTATGGCTCTAATGAGGACAAATCAGCTTTCCGCTGGACAATAGAGGTAGGCAGTTAAGTATGACTTGTCTTATAAAACGACACGCTCAAACACAAGGCTGCTTCCAGCATTTCCGTTTAAAGTGTGATCGAGTGTGTTAAGGTGGCTTCAAACCGCTTGTAATCGTGGTTACAAAATGCGCATATTGTAAGTGTTTTATGTTCCTGCCACTAGATGGCGCCGGGAGGTTTTGTCGTCCGAAATACATTAAGTGCATCTTCAGTCGTTCACAGGCGGAACATTCAGTAAAGCTCCTCCTCTAACGCGCCTTCCGCCTAGCTCTGGATTTGGGTTCGTCGAGGCAACTTTACTAGATCAATGTCAGTTGACAATGTTTCTAGAACGACTGGCTCCTTTTCGTGGCGTGTCTGCTCTGTGGCACTGGCTACGCTGTCAGCCCGCCCTATGAACAGAATCGACGGAACCTGTGGAAGATCGTATGCTCATTTCCAGCGGTGGAACGTGATCATATTGTGTGTGTTTCTTTTGAATATAAATTGCGGCAAATGTTTGCTCAGAAAGAGCATAGTTCAAAAATGGTCCTCTTCCGTTGCCAGTGGAAACTGTGCCGCCTGTCACGCTAGGATCGTTATCGGCCCGTACTTGCTCGCGTGGGGGCCACAATAAAGAACGGTTTTCGGAAGCCGTATTTCCTTGAAGTGTGTCAACTGTTAGATATAATAGGGTTTTACGGACGACGTCCTAGCTAAGGGAGCAAGCGCGCACTGGAGGAAGATCACCTACTAAATTGTGAATCTGTCACCGACTGTAGTCATCCACATTTTAACCCATTACTTTCACCTCTTCCCCCTCCCTACCCACTCCGGCTCGAAAGCTTCCAGTAGGAAGAACCGTAGAGTATATCCTTTCTAGTAAATCAACATCTCTTCCGAAAACGAGGTGGGTACGAGCGATTCCAGGGCTGTCGTTCAGTCTAAAACACAAATGTGTGAACAAACCTTTAAAATAAAGCATTTTTATCGACCCGGCTCACAGAATACGTAGTGGATGGGGAAGAGAAATAAATACGTCGTATTACAGTAGGTGCTAGGTCCCTGTTGAAGAACACGTGGCGTGTCCAATTGGTAGATCGGCGGAGTGGATTCCACTGCTCTCCGAGGCCGTAGACTGTGTCAGAAGGCATCAGCGTCGACAGCTGCAGAAACTGGTTGGCGAAGATCAGTCGGGACAAATCCGTCTGAAAGCTAAAAAAATAACATTTGTTTGTTGTTTTGAAAAACAGGCAATGTAATGTACTACCTTGTGCTCATACCAAATCTAAAAAGAGAGAAGAAATTTGATTTGTTACGTCATAAATTTGTGCTAACGAGTGAGTATTTAAATTTTCACAGTAGGCGTAACATGGCACCTTGATAGTTTCTATCAATATAACTTTCGTAATTTGAGATTTACATATCCAAATATTTTAAATAAATATGTTTTTATTCTACGGCGAAAATAGAAAATAACAGAACTACCAGCAAGTTTTAAGCTGCGCTGGGTGTTTATATTTAGGGTTTCAGAGCTATCAGGTCTCGCTTCACAGAGTGCGACTCCCGACTTAATACCTAGCGTAAAGGCATGCTCAAATTTATTTTAGTGCCGGCGAAACAAACTGGACGGTATTCGTACAATGTTTATTGTGTTCACAATACTTCTTCCAACGGACTTCATCTGCACCTGTCGTAGGAGCCTTCCCGACATGTTGTAAGCGGCTAAGCCCGCAGCTGCGCTTCTGTAAGGGACTATGACGTTATTTCGGCCGATGCGGTCACACGACGGTGTGATAGAGTCGTCTGATCTCCTACGCACTCTGGTTACTCGATACATAGCAGCTGTGAGCACTCGTACCCTTGTTGTCTAAATGGTTGAAATGAGGAAAAGGGAATTCTACAACATGCAAACGAACGCTTCCAAGACCTCTCCCTGTCATTTTTCTTAATTCCTTTCGTCGGTGTCTTTGCGGTTTTAAACCTTATACCTAGCTTCTAATGCCTTTTACACTGCCCGCAAAAATAGTTTTTAAACGTATCGTGCTGAAATTTACTACAGAGTTGCAAGCGAATGGTGGAAGCTTACAGGAAAAAAATGAAGGCACAAACTTATATGGTTCAGAACAATTTAAAACAATTGTTCTTTGAAATCTTCGTTGCCACTTCGTAGACGATGCACGCGTACGGAGATGACCTGCCGACAGATGGCGTACGCCGCTTCAGGGGATCGCCGGCAGTTTTGAGTTGAAAACAGAGGATCTCGCAAAGGAACCCGAATCAGCCGGCGTACCCTCGATGCGGCTTACGCAATCTGTCGGCAGCACTTCCCTCTACGCGTGCATCGTCTGCGAAGTGGTGGCGTATATTTCACAGAAAAGCTGTTTTTCTTCGGAACGAGGTGAGTTCACTCTTTAATTTCTTTCAGTGTAAACCTCAATCACCTGACTGCATCACTACAGTAAATTCCAGCGCAATAGGTTGAGAACCCGATGTTCGCGGGCTATCCAAGGTGACTCAGAAGCGTTAGGTTACATGCTGCTGCCGTAGTCACTGACAGCATGAGAAACGAAGTGCATAGTTTATTATGTTTACGCGTTTTACTTCGTGATTGGTTCTTCGTAATTTTTATCGGCTAATGCCGCAGTCTTATTTGCCGAGGAGCGATAATGCGATGTCTGGCATTGGCTCCGCCCCTCGTTCCTTAAGCTGTATGTCACAAAAGCAAAGTGGGTTTGAGCGTGATTTATGCATCTAGCTGCAAGTCAAGAGGGCAAGGGATCGATTTCCACAGAAAGATAAGTTTTTTTGTGTGTGTGTGATTTAACAATTACTATATAGATTGATTTAATATTTTGTTCATTGATGTAGGTATTGTAAGCCTGAAGATTTCATTTGTTTTGTTTTTGTAACGCTTTTTCGTAACGTTAAAGGCCAACCTACCGAATCCTCTTCTGCCGACAGAAAATAGGTTCCCAGTTTCCTTCTATCCATTCCCTCCCGCACTCTTCTCCCTTCCTCCGCCCATAAAAGCGGATCTACGATCTACTCCCCGCAGATTGAAGGACGGTCTCCCTCTATCTCTATTAGAGATGAGGAATTGAGGAAGAGTTTTCTCCTTTCTGCTTTTTGTCGGCCTTTAAGCTTATCTCGCAGAAAACAAGCTCACAACCAGAAGTGTACGGTATTTTTGCATGTGATCAAAGTACTTGTGATTCGTTCCTCTTGTAATAACTTTGCAGTAATTTGATTACTTTTATTACAAAGTAATCTCAAATGCAATTTAATTACTTTAGGAAGTACTAAAATTGCTTGTAACCGTTACTATTTTGCATGCCCCTTCTACTGGCGCCCTCTGTTTATAGTTTCCTACAAAGAAATCCTGTAACCAACACTTCTGCAAAAGGAAGGCTTATAAAAAAATTATTGGTGCATTAAGAATATAATTACTTCGTAATTTCGTAATTTTAATTAAATAATACAGACTACGAAAGGGCCGTTTTCAAACCGGCAAACAAATCTGTCGTTTTGAAAATCTCATGTTATCAAAAAAGGAACGGTTACTTGCTCCAGTAACAGTCAATTACTTGTTCTGCCAAGTAATCAAGTAATCTAAATGAATACATTTTAATCAGGAGTAATTATTCATGGAACCTATTACTATTGGTTATTAATGTCTAGAAGACTGCCTACAAGAAGGGTTCTGTTTTTTGGAGTTTATTTTGTTGAAATTCATTTCTTTCTTTTTTTCGGGGTTAATGTTTTTGTTATTTTTTCACGAATATTCTCGGGTGTTTTTTGTGTCACTTTTTGGCGTCTGCCAATAAAAAAGTCCTGGTCTCTAGGGGCTTATAATGAAGCTAACGTGATAAGATATGCCCTGATAAGTGGGGCGGATAGGGGAAAACGTGGGCAACAAGAATCTCCAGCGAACGAGCGAGTAACCCGAGCATTATGATATCGTTGCAGTGCCGATAAGGAGAGGAAAAAACTTAAGGGGTGGGAAGCTCCCGAAGAAAGAAGCAGCCGCGCTGAGAGTTCTGTCTGCGCTGTGTTTCGGGTTGTAGGATTTCCCTTGTCGCTGCTTACCTCCCAGAAGGATACAACGTACTCATTCAACAAGGCGTAGTCATTTACTGAAGTCTATCGCCCCGCGACGCGACTTCAAAAGCCTCTCGCGCATAGCCTGCCCAGGCCTTTTCCCAGTGGCGGAGTGCTGCTTGCGTGGCAAGTTGCACTCGGCTGCCTCGAGGAGGATATGAACAGAGACGACTAAAGATGCGGGAGACCTGGTCGGAGGGTTTGGAGCTCCCAATTGCCCACAGTATCAAAGCTAAAAAAACAGTACTTAAAGATGCATTTTTCGGAAGCTTGAGTTTTTTTCTTATTCAAGAAAAGCTGAAATTTGAGATTTATTTAATTTTTCCAAGATTTTGCTAAAATTGGCTCGGAGGATATTTTGAGGAGTTTATTGATAAATTCCTAAAGCAGGAAATTCTATTTACAGAAACTTTTGTATTCATAATCGCCAAAATTATCGGTCAGTAACCGCCCTGCACGACATTTTATCTGGTTGAATAAATAAATCTTCATTTAAACAAGCAAAGACAGTTATTCTTATTTTTTTAAGTAAGGTATCGTAAAACCACAAGGTTTCATCGAATAATAGCCTAAAATAAACTGGTGCGCATAATTTGCTTCTTGTGTTTTTAATGCGGGGACCTTCGTACAGAAACCCCTTTAGAACTTGCATCTATTTAGGCCATTAACGAGCTAGCGACGAACTATGCAGATTGAATACACTGCGCAAAAAAATAAGCTTTATATCCAAGGGCGATAATACCAATAATTACGTTAGAAATCAAAAAGCGCTTCGGTAATTATATTAACAAATGTTCCAACCCTGCCGGCTGCTTCTTCAAATACTTCGTTGTTCAACCCATTCCTTTATTATAAGAATTTAGCAATTAATGAGTATCTCTTCGTACCGCATTTCTTGCGCACAGTTTTTATACAACCTTTGCTGCGGAATCGTTCAACACACATGTATAACTAAAGCTACAAAGGGTCAGTTGAACCTAAATCATTGTAATGCCTCTGATGTAGCTATGTATAGACGCCGGCCGAATAAAGGAACACCGAAAAGGTAATTATGCTCGCTGAGATTTTATAGAAACTGGACCAGTCAGAGTTACACTACCCAGAACATAATTTACGGCTCGAAATTTGTTATCCTTCCGCCCGTAAACAGCCGGTCGAGGATGGGCTGGTTTCAGTCGCGCTCACCCTCTCTTCCATGGTAACGTAGCGTTCTCACTGTGTGCACTAAATGTATTCAAAGTGGTGGCACTTATAAGACGAATATATTATTAAAAAGAACAAGGTTGAGCACTTTTTTGTGACCTCCCAAAACTGCAAATAAGTTATTGAAAAAAAAATGTTAGAAAGATCTTAGGAAGTACATTTATACGTCATTCACAATATGCCGACGTGCCGCAGGCTGGACGAGGGAGTGCCGGCACAGGACGGGCCAACGTGGGAGACGCTAATTAGGAAATGTCATCCGTGGTACCAGAAAATCGATGCTCAAGCGCAGAACACCGAGCGGGAGGGATGTAAGTGCGAAACAATCACACTACACACCGTACACGTAACTTCGTTGTCTGCTTCACACGCCAAAAACGCGGAGAATGAAAAGAAAAATGACATCTGGTATTACGGCGCTTTTAGCCGCGTGATTTCCGGCCATAAGCGTCCGTGCTTGTGTGATCATCTCCGTTTCGAGAAGCTGAGCATTATTTTTTTTATTAATAAAAATATACATCAGTCCGATGTAGTGTATTAGTGTATTATAGCCTGGCAAAAAAAAAAATTCTGAGGGTGGCAGTGTTCTTTCAAGAAACGTGGTGTGGGGCCTATTTTAATCACCTCTCTTTCTGATTTCTTTTTGAGAACTCTTCTCAGTTAATGCCTCAACGGAATTTGCAGCGGAGCGATTACAGCATGCTCGGCACTCGCCAAGCACTGTGTTTATTAAGCACGGAATGACTACACCACCAAAAACATCTATGCACATCGCGGCCTTACATGATAGTCTGAGAGTCTCCACGGCGCTGAACCACCAGCTTGCCGCTGCTTTTGTCCAAACCGACGACGTACTGACGGTCGCCCGAGAAAGTTCGGAAGGGGATCTGGGGCACGGGTGGAATGAATCGCCTGTGAAATGGATCCAGCACCTGCAACAAGCCATGCACCAATCTTTGATGAACCAAGAACGTAGGCACTGTTTGGTAATGTTCATGCAGCAATTAATTTCTTCAAATGTGACTGATTGTATTTCGTTGAATTTTCTGAAATTGTTTAATACACATTTATACGTATCTTTCTTTTGGCAAGCTGAATACCCTTATTTCAAGTCTACATATTCGTTTGAGTCAATGCCGTTTCAACAAACCCAGCACAATTCATCATATTTCCGTTCTATGCATTCATACGTGCGCGCACACACACACGAACTCAGAGAGGAAGGCCACGCATTTATTGCGCTGAACATATTTAGATGATTATATCATCTGGACGAGATGATTAGATATACTGTGACCTTGCGCGTTTGACGAGTTCAGAATGGCCCCATCGGTTGTGCTTTACTTAGTCTGAAACGACGTGTATACGCCCAATTTTAGGACACCGTCTCTGTATCAGAGACTTTTCTACACATCTTTCAACCCCAGAGTGTTTACGCGCTAACGATTGGGTCATCTTCGGTTACAGAAAAAAAAAAAAGAAAAATCACCATTAGTTAACTACAAAGATAGCATAAAAAAACAACTTTTACGAATACAAAGTTATTAAACTATTGCCGCGAATACACACCTGCGCGTCCTAGAATTTCGTTCTGCGCCATGCCTGATTATTAAAATATATATTGAACATCAATATGGCTGACACACTATCACGGAATATTACCATTCATTCAGAAATATTGATGTGAGTTGTGGGCAAGCTACAAGAACAAAAATATTTTTTTCGCTTGTCTTTATATCTAGAATTGCCACTACAACTTATTTTGCTTTAAAGCAACTTAGTATATTGTGCTGCCACATGAAACCCGAGTGTTACACTTGCACCGTTTTTTTACTTCGTTTCATTCGAAGTACAAGAGGAGTAGAATTTATTCTGCGAGTATTACCGCTCACCTCTTTGTTTATGCGCTATTTTAATACGTTGTTTAGGTACCAAGTGGATTAACTTATCCCATGATTAAAGCAACCTTTGTATGAATTTAAACCTTCCGCTCAAAGAACAGATTCTCGACTGTGCTGATTTCAATCAATCCAGGACAATACCTCGAATGCATTTTAACATAATTGAAGTTACCATTTTTTAGTTGTGAGCATTTGGCAAATAGACATCTTCCAAAATTCGAAGTTCCCCATCGCGGCGAAATGACACGCGGTGCACCCCGGGAACTAGTTGGCCACTCAGTATCGGTTTCGATTGAGCAACTTCAGTTCGTGCTATCACGCCGTAACCGAATGCGCCGCTTGCATTTTCGATCCTCTGGCTTCCCACGAATGTATATTACTCTCGCTCTCGAGCGATATATAAATGGAAGGCCGGGGCAATTTTTATGCTTCCCGGCATGCCGGATATTGTGTGTGCGTATGCAAACGCAGAAGACGTGTCTTACCTCCCCTCACCCACCGATTGTAGCTTTCAGATAAATTACAATAATCCTGTCTAATACGTTGGAACAACAATTCATATTCGGTTGCTTTAAGCCCTACACATATTTTGTTTGCCAACGTCCGTGTTTTGCTACTTGACTGGGCGAAAAACAAACCATATCGTCATAGAAGTCTCAACGTTGAACCCAGCGTTGACGCTCGAAGTTTTAAGGAAGCGAAATAAATTCGACCTCTCTACTGCACAAGAATTACTATCAAGTCTTCCTGTTATCATCGTATATTTCCTACTGAAATGGTATACTAATTAGAGATTATGCTTTCGCAAACGCTGAAATTGGCTAGCTACGACGGAGACCCAACAAGCGTTCCCTACTCATCGCTAAGCCTTTTTGTGCGATCTTTTGCTGACGCCCAAGATCTGAATCGGAACGGTATGTCTGAAATCATTTTGGCATACTCAATCAAAATGAAAGGAACCACATAACAAACCTTACAGCCATTAAGAACATTCAAGCGCGCTTTGAATCCTTTAGTTCGTTTTGCGCACAGCATAGTTTAACGCCCGTCTACGTGCCGTCCGGCGAACGGCGCTACATTATTCAAGCAAGTGCTCGACCACTGTTTTCTTAAAAACGGGTTTCTATATGCGAATGTACCTATGTGACTACAAGGTAACTTTATGTGCATATGCGAAATTCAAGTAGTAGAATGCAAGCGGGCCGGGAGTTCATACCTTGCAGTGCTGCGGGTCAGTATAGATCGGAGATAAAAAGTGTGTTCGATTTTAGCTTTCCAATGGCGTCTCCGAGTTTTACCTCGAGTACTCAGGCGTATTCAAAAAAAGACACTAATTGCAAAAAGGTAGTCTTCGTCAATGGACGCAGAAAACAAGGAACAAACTTTCTGACCAGCAACACTTCACTCTAAAAAATTCCTGCGCGTCTACTTACCCGCAAGACGCTCAAATAGCCAATCTCTCTAATCCTCGAAATCAGCTCAGCGAATAATGAGGCGATACATCTGTTTAGACCTCGAATTAAGTCCAAGCTCTGGCATTGCGCAATGCAACCATGACGCTTTATATTGCGTAATGCCACAGCGCAGACTTCATTTTTATTTCTAAACGGATGTTCCGCCTCATCATTCGCTAGGCTGATTTAGTAGACCGCAGAGATTGACTCTTTGAGTGTTTGGCGGGTAAGCAGACGCGCAGGCATTTCTTAGAGTGTAATGTAAATGTGCGAGCTCGGTTTACGTGTACTCAGCCTGTCCCCCGACGCAAGCAAGATCCCCGAGCTTCGCAGCGTCGAGATTTCCAGCACAAGCTCGTCCACATACCTTGAAAAGCTAACAGAAGGGCTCGAGTACTGAAATGCAACAAGCATGTGTGAAGACAAACTTTTCGTATGGTTCGAGCTTGAGCTAAATATCCGAGGGTGGGCCACTTAGGTAAGTTTTCAGAAACAAAACGATGCGTCCGGGACCAGAAAACACAAGATAACGGTTGTGAATAGATCAAGGTCTTTGTGTGATCTCTTGCCGACGTGTCAGTCGAAACGGAAACCATGCTACTCTCTTCCCTGGTCATCTAGTTCCCAGAGTGCAACTCCCGCAATGTTGCGTGCAGGGTTTTATGAAAGTAGTCTATTACATTTTATTTTGATATATTTCAAATCATATTTCCGCAGTATCATTCATTCAAAATATATATGCCATATTCACCATACACTCGATTTATGCCTTGAAACAAAAACAAAAAACACGCAAACTGTGTTTCAGAAAATACTTTTTTTTTGCAAGTCTGTTACAATATTTTTGCCGTCTTCAAAATTCCAAGTCCCACTAGGGAATATATCTGCGGCTTCTTGACATTAAGAAATAAATTGCCCCCCCAAAAAAGTGAAGTGCGAATGCGAAAAATAGTGTTTAACCGACAGAGAAAAACTTTATATTCATAAGAATGTAAAACAATTGTTTCAGAGACCTACATCCACAACTACATATGTTTAGCACCCTTAATTGAAGTAATACATGTTTTAGCCGTAAAATAGATTACTCTTGCCTTGAAGCACCATTTATCCTCGAAGGATGTTAAAGGGGTTTGGAACGAGGGGCTACGGCGACATGAGGCGAACACCCTTTTTGAATGGTGTTCGCATTCAAAATCATCTTCAGGGGACGGTATTTTAATGGTTATTAAAAATACCTCTTGCGTGCATGAATGTTTTCCTCTCGGAGATACATTCTTTGACTTTACATATAGTATTCATTACGAGAAATACGGAGGAAAAAATTAGTATGTTTGTAACCTTCGTAATTGCAGAGGTTTTGTTCAGATGAGGGTCTCTGAATTGTCGAGTATATGAGGTGGGGGAGCAGCCAACAAGCTCTTAATTTGTCTCTCGTGCGTTATTTAGTGAAACAAAATGTTAGCTGGGCTTCTTGGTTCATGACTGGAAATAAGCGCCAAAGGAGCGGGGACAGGTGAAGAAGTGTACGAAAACAAAAGGCGCTCACAGTGCACTAAAAACTAAAATCACACAAGACGGGGGCCACTCGCGAACCAAAGCAAATGCCCTGTTGTTGTTCACTTCTTCACTTGTCCCCGTTCCTTTGGAGCACATTTCCAGTCGTGATTTACTGCTTGTGTACTGGAATTTTCTGTTTATGTGAGAACTGAATATAGTTGTAGTTGCTTGTAAACTGGTATCTTGTGAAAGACATCGTTGGACGCTGCTAAAATCGCCAGCATCCTATTTTAGGGTGTTCACCTGCAGTCTAAGGTATTGGTGTAACACTCTTAGGGACATAACCTTTCAAAAAGTTAATTTAGACCCCTAATGGTGTAAAACGTTTTAGTAGGAACGAGTGAATATTCGGAGCTTACCCTGATTCTGAGTGTGTCCTGGTCGTAGAAGAGAATCTCTACGTGCACAAATGGCACGTCCACGTCGATTCCCGATGGCGTCCGACGCACGAGCATAACATCGATCCTGTCGTCGGAAATCTCCGCATTCTCGACGTAGTAGCCAGCGTAATTTATCGGGAAGTAGCAGTAAGGGATATCGAGCTTCCTTTCACCGGGAATTTCGTCTAGTCTTCCCCAGCAGCACCCGCGAGAAAGACAGCCAGCTTCGTTGGATCCGGGTTCTGGATAACAGTCGAAGCGCTCCGAAAGCTTCCCCACTTGGCACTGTGCAGTGTCTCCTGCAATTTTATGATCATTCTATAGCCATCGACAGAGCCAGAAACGCAGTGTGGGCCATCTTTCGTGCATCTTATTACGCAACAGCCAATTAGATTGCGACATTAGTGGGATAACAACACTGAAAAAAAAAATCATGAATCAAGAGATGTGAACGTGAATGCAATGTCCGGCGTCGGACAAGCTCTCAATCCTATAGTTGAGACCTGAAAGTAACACAAAACACAACAGAAATCTCGTTTAATAAATAAAACGAGGACCTGATTTTAGACTGCCTTGTTTTATATATCTGGGCCCCACTTACATGGTGCATAAGACAAGTTTAATGTTACGTTTCTTTCACAAAACCGGGTATGATATTGTCTAGAAAAGGGTGCTTTGAGCCCACGTATGTTATAAATAGCGTTTTTGAGCTGCCCAGTTATTGTCCCTCCACTGTCAAAATGTGACAGCTTTGTGCGTAGTAGCACGTCACTAGTATGAATGAATACGACGTTCTTACCCTGCAAAACCTGTGGTCGATTCCACATAAAAAATCTAAGCCACACTCAACCAAATAATTTCCGCATATAAGCCCAACAAATGCCACCTTGTGGTCACACATTGAAAAAAAAGTATAGCTGACCATCCTTCACCCAAGCGGGGACCAGTGTACACAATAGACGTTATTGACTACGCCCATTGCAAATCTGGGTATTGTGAGCTGCATTTTTGGGAACATGCAGACTGCCCTTTAAGGCCGCTCGAAAGACTACCAGCTTCGAGTTTAATTCGTGTCTCTAAAACTCCTGTGCACGAAACAAAAAACTTGCTGTCTTGTTTTCCTTTTTTTTTTTTTTTTTTTCTAAGGCTGTTTTTGCTTTTGCTGGGAGGGATTTGCCTGGAACCAGGCTGACGAACGCCCAACTTACGACTTTACATATCGCTAAACAAACACTCTAGATTAAATCAAGTCACGCCTCCATTATAAACTACCCAGCATGAAAATAAGAGTGTTTGATACGGTATTTTATATTTAGAAAGCGTTTAAAAGGTATGATTGAAGGACTTTTCAGTGGAACCTTTCGCACTCTCGCGCCAATGGAAACGAAAATGAGAGCGCCGCCCGTCATTCGGAGATTTTCCGAGGTGCCCATGCTTCATTCAGTCTTCTATACGTGTCTCATTCTCCAAGTTTGGGTCTATCGGCATTTGACTCAAGATCCGTCCAAACGATTCGTTAGATGTGGTAAAGAGAACCCCCAGATGTCTTATCAGCCCCTGAGTGCGCCTTTGGAGCTGCCCTAAACGAAGGAGGTTTAAGAGCGACCTCCACACAATGAATGGGTTATTTTACAGTGCAGCTCTTAGGCGCCTGTTTCCGGCTTAAGCGACGTCGGCGTCGACGTCGCCGTCGGCGAAACCGCGCGGTGCATTATGGGAAACATCCCATAATGCACCGTGTTGACGCGCTCGTTGCCTTATGTGACGTTTCCCATAATGCACCGCGCGGGAGGCAGGACGAGGTAGGAGGGGAGGGTGAGGGAAAGGAGACGGGGGAGGTGGGGAGGAGGGAGCAGGAGGGAGGAGGCGGAGGATGGAGAGGAGGAGGGAGGAGGAGCAGTAGGGAGGAGGAGGAGGGAGAAGGAAGAGGGAGGAGAAAGTGGGAGGAGCAGGAGGGGAGGAGGACAGAGAAGGAGGAGGAGGAAGTCGGGGAGGAGGCGAGGAGCACGGTAGGACTATATGAGGAGGGAGGAGGAGAGGGTTCGGATGAGTAGGAGGAGGGCATACCGTCCGCTCCGTACCCTCCTCTCCTTCCCCTCAACAGCTACGCTATAAATCGGCAATACAGGTAGTTGCAATCCCCTTTTTTTTTTTTTCAAGTACTAACGGGATAATTTTAGGTCTTTTATGGTATGTCAGTGGGGTCCGCAGTGATGTCTTCAAGAAGTACCTATTATAAGAACCCTTTTGATTGACAGACCCGTCATCCTGGAGTAAATATCTTGTAATCCAAATTTGTAGTGACCAATTCGGGTTTCTAAACATCGTCTACAAATTTCTTATCACCGTCCGTATAAAACATATGCCCAAAAAGTAACTCTACATATTTGCGGTCAGCACCAGGCGGTGCACGGTCGACGGCAATAATGTCCGCAGGTTGACGTAGCTACAGAGCCGCCCTATACGGCAGGGTCTTTATGCTGCTGTAGAAGAGGCAAATCGAATTGATGGGGTGTAGCATTCCATTCCGCCTTGCTGCGCGTGACACATTTTAGCGCCATGAACATTTGAACTCGCTCTAATGTGTTGCGTCAACCATCGTAAACCAAACACTTCTCACAAAGCAATTAATACATTTTTTGGCTTACGCAAAGCTGGCCTATTTCAACTTTTACTTTCCAAAAAAACTCACTTTGCAAAACAGGTGGTCGCTAGATGCAGACCTTTCTCTAGGTTTCTCAGAAATTCGTAAACAAAATTTGAATATGGTATTAAAGTTTTGGGCCAGTTATTTCAAGAACAATGCAAGGAAAATAAAATGTATTACAAACTTTTTTTAATACACTCGTTATTCACAATCAAGTACAGTAAACCTTTGATATCCATCACAGGATAGTGGTGCACATTGCAATGAATATACCTATCATAAGACTATTACCTAAAATGTATTGGCGTGAGTCCTGCGCAGTGTAACATTTTGACCTTTCCCAAGTAGCACACTTTTTGGGCTAATTATTTTGTCACTTGTCTTACAATTTCAAAGTATAAAAGCCGCAAAAGCCAAGTTAAATTGAAACTTGACATTATTTATCCAGAATGTATATTTTTGCGCAAAATTTCTAAACAGGAGCCAGAGTCAGGCTTCACGTCCTCCTCGCTCAGTGGTCACCTGCCTCTTTTGGGCCTGAGCTCCAAAGGAAACGCAAGAATTAGTCTTTATTTTTTGTTCGGTTTTCACCCGGCAACTTTGGACCTAAATCGCCGACCAAATGCCAGAATCTTTGTTCACCGTTGGTTGTCCGCCTGATTCTTCTTTTTCGCATATCTGGCACTTGGGCAATTATTTGACGACCCACAAAAAGGTCATTGCATAGCTAAAGAACAGTATTTTGGCATAACTATTGCGTTGGTGAAAATATAAGCACTTAGAAGGGAAAAATGTCGGCCAAGTAAGGCGTTTCTCTGGAAAGCTCTTTTCTTGTTTTATTTCCCTTTGCCCTCTGATACCCAGTTTACATATTCGGTACGGGGGAGAACAAATAGGCACAGCATTAGACCCTAAAATAAATAAATAAATACAGAAAAAGCAAAATCAATTAGTAACATGATCACTTTCCAGTGGCGTGGGGTATGAAAACCGACGTTTTGCCTCGAACCGGAAGATCAGCGATTCAAGGTCACGACGCCCAAGTGTAGAAGGTCTATGCACATTGGCCGAGCATCATCCTAATTTCTCCACAAACTTGCCTGGCCTGGCGTGCCTCCCGTCTTGTTCATTGATACCAACGCGCTGCTCCGCACTGGTGTCTTCGATATTGTTGAGTGAACATGCAGCAATCGCCCAGATAATGACTCTGTAACAGCGAACACACAACAAAAATGTTGAAATAACCGTATTTTTTTTATTTATCTGGTGAAACGGATTAGAACTCCACATGATCTTTGACGTAAGAAACACTCTAGCGTAAGGTGTACGTCCCAGTTGGGGCGTGGTGTTCAAGTGTGTACGCGTTTTATAGCGTCACTGAGCTGCCGTGGTCAAAAGAAGAAACAGTTGCTGAGAAATATGGCATAGAAGCTGAACGATTCTAGCTATCACAAACATTGATGTTTCTAACGTTAACGCCCTTCTGAAAGAAATTCATCTCATACCCACCAGGTTATCTCAAATTTCTAGATCTGCAGTCTCCAACAATTTGAAATCCCGACTGATCGCGCAGTTTTCATGCGGCTGTATGCGATTTACTTTGGCAAAGACCACAACGCTTGGGGTGAGAAAATAAAATATCCTTCGCAATACACTGTTCCTACAAATAAAGCGCCCCTTGCCAAATTAAACTTATCAACACTACCGAAACTGTCTGGCCGAATGGGTCATTCATATTCTGAGAGACTGCACCCTTCACAAATTTCTCAGCGGTCTGAGAGCTTCGTCATTGTTTTCTGATAAATCTTTACGGTCTGAACCAATCTGTCCCGTGAACACACATAACCATTCAAAATAATTCTAAACGTTCTACGGTAGGCGAAGTCGATTTTTAAATTGTGTTTCGGGCGGCCGCAACAACGTTCGCTCCACGTCGGCTTCTCGTCCTACGCGTAGGAGCGGTTCAAAACAACTCCTAAAGTGTGCGAGAACAGGAGGAGCTTACACAGCGGCTTGTTTCTTACGCCACTTAGACCACCCAACACAACGAACCCCCCACCCGGGAAAGTGGGCGGGGAGGGGGGGGGGGGGGGGGGTATCCACTTCGAACTTAAGCGATATGACGCGAAGTGCGCCGCTATTCTCTTTACTGCACTCTCTATCTGGCGAGGCTCATGGGGCCCAGCTTCCACCTCGATCATTTTCAAGGCACCTGGCTTTCACTCCCATATCCAAAGACCCAGGCGATCTAAACGCCGTTAGTCCAATTGCTCTCTCTGAGGAAGCCCTATAAGATTGATGCTAAAATTCTGAACCACCGCTTAGTCAGAATCTCGATAGTATGCTTCTGTGTGTGACAGAAACGATTGAAATTGAAAATGGTACAAAACTGTTATTTTGTACAGTTTAAACAGTTCAGGCATTGGTGTACCACAATTGCGGGTAGGTAATACGCACAGGGAACGTTCATAGAAAATTAACATTCTGATGTGCTGTTTCAGAAATAGCACGCTCAATTACACAAGGTACCAACCTTAGTTCTTGCGCCATTAGTCCTTGAACGTACGTGCCTGTGTGCTTGAGGGGGGGCTTCCGGTAGCGTGTCAGGGGCCGTATTTTATTCCCTCGCAGGCCGCTGTTGCCGACCCCTGACCTAAATTGTTATAGCCTGCGATGTTCCTCATGTACTCCGAGGCACGCAAATTTGATATTAATCAATGCCGTTCCCCAGCCGCTCCTCGTGTAATTGGTTTTTGATTCCATGTCCTTTTAGTTGCATCCACCCATTTAAGAAGCATCTTTCTTTTAGTAGGAAGCCACTCGTCGTTTTCTGCGTCCAACTGTGCTTCTACCATATGCGTATCGACGTTTCTAGTACGTCCTTATTTCTCTACACTTGTCATCGGACACCGAACCCTGTTGTCGAGATTGCGACTGCTAAACGTGTCTGAAAACACTGATATCAATCTCGGATCCCCGCCCTTCGTGTGAGTACTTGAGTCGGGCAGGGACTCCCGCTGGTTCCGCTGATTACTGACGTCATGCACATCCCTCCTGAAAAACATCCCTTCCGTGAATATTCCCTTAAAAATGCGTTATTTGTGTCCGCTGCTGCCGTCAGTAGCATTCATAAGAAACCAATGTCCGAAATTCGAAAGCAAGTATCACATATGGCAGAATATTTTGCTGTTCCAGATACTGTACAGGCGTATGAGTTATGAGCAGGCATACTTATGCTGCATTGCAAATGCTTAGACTGCGCAGAAGACACTCCAAATGTTTGAGATGAGCCTAAAGCTATAGCCCGCCATGACCAGCGGGCCGGGATAGAAAGGCAGTAGGCAGCGCACAGTTGTGCCACGTCGTGTTCGACCACAGCTTCGCTCTTGATTTTTTTTTTTTGCCGGTCTACAAACCCATGGCCCGGCCATTCGTTCTCAAGCCAAGGCTTAAGAATACAGCGTTCGAATCCCGCGTCTCGCGTCTCATACCTCATGCGACGGGTGACGCGTTGTGTAGCAGCCAATTCAAAGAGCTGTTCCTCACGTGCCATACAAAGGATCAAAGTCCTGGTATCTTGCAATTGTATCTGAACACAATTTACACAAACTCTACACTTCGCGCTAACTTTCTGTGAAAATGAAAGAAAGATCTAAGTGTCCAGGTGGTCGCGCAGGGTTACCACCGAAGGAAGCTAGGCAGCCGTATCTTCGCATATTGGAAGATGCGACAGAAGGAACAAATCGCGCTGAATTCATGGCCAGGCACGTGTATGTTTGTTGCGTCGGAAAGTGAGCAAAGAAAGCACCATGGAAATGACCGCTGAAAAACGCAAGTGATGGAGCACTGCTGTTCCACACAAATCGTCTTCAACAGTGGATTTATTTTTGGCCGTCTTTGAAACGGAACTTGGGAATGCATGAACCTAAGAGGGGTTTCTGTGGTGCGATGGTGCATGGGAAAAATTGCGCCTGGTTCATCTGAAGATTCTTTCCTTTCGTTCTACTCTTTGAGCCTTTGCTTGAAGTGATTTTTCGCTTCATTGCAAATGCTTTCTGTCCACTTTTTTTTGCAGTGTATGTGGTTAAATAATTTGCGTATATTACGCATACGTTACTTGATCTACGTTAAAAGGTCTAAACTAGCAGTCGTATCCCACATACCAAATTTATTCCTTATGAACTTTATGAAAGTAAATTACGTAGTAACATATCACGTACTCAGGTGGACACGTAGTCACATGTTGATGGCTGATTAGATTCCCGTTGTCTAGAGGTAGCAGTACGTATCTTATCTTACGCTGTCCGTCCAGCAAGCATAGTGCGCTTAGTACAGAAATCCGGATTTCGTATGACGCACCTCATCGCGGTATTGAAAAAAAAAGAGCAATACATCAGTTTCTTCAGCTACAGTTCTTCTCCGACGACTGTAACGGCTGAAAAAGCTTCCCGCACCGGTAATTTTGGAGGCTGTGATAGAATTATAAGCGTTTCATTTGCCATTAAGCGAAGAAAATTGCGGTTGTAGGATACCTTTTGGAACTGCCTGAATGTAAATTATTTGATGTAACTTAATTTTGTCCCGTTTTTCGTTACATGTATTTGTTTGTCGCACATAAGTATCCTGCAATCCGTTTTGAAGTTGGTTAACAACATTCTAACTGGTCAATGCTACTTCGTCAATAAATGTATGAAGAATTACCTTTTAATACCTGAATTAAACACCGCAAACAGGTGTTTGCTATATTTTGGCGTTCATGCTAGTTGAAAGATGGAAAGCAAAAAATTAAGGAAAAGTTTTAAGTCAACATAAACTGCCGAATGACCAATGAGAAATTCTAAAAGTTCTTTAAATATATTCGCGCACCAAGCCAGGATATTCCTTAGTACTGTAACTTTAATATCGAGCATTTTGTAGCATTACACTCCAGAAACGGACTCACAAACCGGTACACAGATTCTCAAAATTTCAGCGTAGAAACGTTGTAAATTTTTTTTTTCATAAGCACACACATAAATTTAAAGGACATCTCCAAGGATTCCACTTCAACAAGATGCTAAAAAGGTAGTTCTTGACCGTTTTATGACGGCCAGGTTTTAAACTTTCAAAACGCTGTGCCGCAAGTAAAAGAGGAGTACAAGTATGCAACTAATCACTGGCACCGTTTCCTGGTTATTCATCTTATTTCTTAAAGATGTGTTGGAAGCACCGTTGAACTCAAAAGAAATTTTATGAGAATCCGTGCTTCGTCTGCCGAGGAAAGTGGAGTTCTGATCTTTCCTCAAAGTAAACATAAATCTGCAACGAATACTACTACCTGAGAGGCAGAGAGACTTTTTATGTCATTTTATAACAATAAGGAATCTAAACATTGAGTTCCATGTTTCCTAGATATGTGCTAAATCCACCAACACAAGTGAGACCGAACGACGATGCAAATTTATTTTAGCCTTCTTTTTTTCATGAAAACGCGACAGTATATTGGCGTTTTCAGTGAATGTAAAAAAAAAAAAAAAACATTAAAATCACCTTGGCCATTTAAATGTCAGATATGTATTTTTGTGCAGGTTCTGCCGGCAGCAGGATTTGGCTGCCACAGGTTCTGAATATCTATGCGGCATACTTGTTACAGCAACCTACAGTACAAACAACAAGTTTATTTGGAGCTGGTTTCAGTATATAAACATTAACCTAATTGAAGTTTCAAACCGGCAACCAGCGCTTCGCTCTCAGGCCAGGTCAGGTTCCTTTAGAAACTGAAGACTTAGTTTAAACTTAAATTGATATCAAACTTAACAAACACAAATTTTAAATTCTATTAGGTTTCTATGACAGTGCACAATACTAACCACACCTTAGTGGAGAACCAGATAGCTAAGAAAAAATACTTTTAGCACGTGGTAATAAATATTTTACACTTTATGTGTACATTGAACAGCCACTGAATACGTTACGTTTCAGACTAAAAACAGATACGCTACATTCTTCCTAAGAAATCACTAGTTAAAGTTATCTGAAATTTCATTTGCAAATGAAGAAAGCCCTTTTCCGCCCTCTCTATGATAAAACAGTGCGCGGTTAATAAAAAAAAAACGATATCGCTTGAACTTGACATTGAATCTTAAGCTTAGGAAGAATATATTAGAATGGTAATTACAACAAATTAGTCCCGCTCTACAGTCGAAGCAAAATGATAACCACCCCAAGGCAATTGTGGGGTTGGCTGTGAATACCCTAAGCGTAACCTAGTGCCTCGCGGCAGTGCGCGCCTGTCAGACTAAGTGTTCAGGTGAGGGAACGAAGCAGGAACGAACGTTCTGAGTCAGCTACTTTGGATTCTGGTCATGATATTAGGGTCACAGAAGTGGAGCTCTACTGAATTGAATGCACCCATATCTGTACCTCTGCAACATGTTTTTTTTGCAAGAACACTTACGCTGCGAAGTACGGTTCTAAAGAGAAGTGTACTCCTCGTGCGTGATGCTGTACTGCTCCTGTGTGATGGAACGAAGACGCTTGAGTTGCATCATACTACAAAGGTGCAACCATCTCGCCTTCTGCGGTAAAGAGAGCAATCCGGTTTTCTCGACTTTGTTAGAAAAATATAGTAAAAACTATGACCGTAAAGTAAAACCCATAATATTTGTTGTTAGTGTAGTTTTTATTTCTGCGTGATTGTTTGGGCGGCTAGGCACCCTAAATATTTCTAAAAGAAAATTGGGTGTAAATATGCTGATACGGCCTAGGAATGAGTCTGCCTCAACGCGCAACTTGTCTCCCAGGTGTAGGTAACACCTTTAGCCGGTGCCGTACAATGGCTAACCTGGGGTCTTTAAAGGGGCCCTCCGGAGCGTTCTGCGATGGTCTATTTATGGCAATAACTCAATCTACAGGCCCTAAGGATCCTAAAAATCATAAAATTACGGTCATGCGCGGCGGATTTCCCTATTAAAATTGCTATCAAAGTCCCCGGCACTCCCCCCTTTCTGAGATGACCCCGGAAAACGGGAGGGGCATCTCTTTACGCGTCAGCCAATAGCAAGCGAAGGATTCCGGCGTCACTGCGCGTCACCAACACGGCCGACCGCCAACCCGTGGAGGAATCTCTAAAATACGCGCGGACCGTCGTCAAGGAGCCCGGACTGCCCGGACTTTGTGCTCGGCAGTCGTCGTTCGTCGCACCGCACCGTCGCGCTGCTACTGCAATACGCAGTCGCATTCCACAGATGACAAGGAAAAGTTTGACTCGTTGACGTGGAAGGATCGCAAAGCTGGCTTCGGAGTCGCGATCCACGGGAAGAAGGAACACGTGTCCCGCAAACGCACGCCTGCTGACGCCCCGGGAGGCAGACGAGCCGACGCGCCTTCGCATCACCCCCTAGCAACAAGCTTGCGGGGAGAAAACATAGTTCGCTGGTTTTGGAGCGATAATTGCGGACCACGTTTCCCGCACCACAATCAGTTTACGTTTTTCTCAAACTCTAATTTACAACAAGCTTAAAAAGCGTTGCAATAATAAGGTTCGCATTCACCGCGAGATGCAGCATTTCCATTGGTCCAGTTTTAGCGATGGGCAGAGAATGGGGGATTGTCTTCCAAGAGAAGATAGTCCCGATATATTTTTTCTGGCATCTGCTTAATAAACGGTTTTGTAATCGAAAACTTTTTATACATACTAACTTGCACCTACTGCGCAATATAACAACATAAACAGACGATCGCAGAAAGCTCCGGAGGGCCCCTTTAATGTGCACCCCGCAGTAGTGACAAACGACCGCACACGCCTAACCATCTTAAACCGTTTGCTCACAGTATTTCCCACCCGCGTCCTGTACCAGTAGTGGGTGCCTAATTTGCGGCAACTGTGAAAAAAATGATACGCATATTATATGTTTTATGTTTGCTATACTTGAGATTAATCACAATCTCTAAAAGTACCGAAGGACGTGAAGGAAAACAAAATAAATACACATACAGCGTTCCTATAAGTGCACACATTCTCAGTTTATGCAGGCGACCCATTCTGCAGCTTGTTGCGCAGGTCGTACTTTCAACACTCGTCACTTATGATAAGTATCAAGACTCGAATTTGGAACACTTACACTTAGCCGGTTTCTTAAGAAGAAAAAGAACAACGATTCGCACACTTTGTCAGAAGCGCATTGCTGTAAAGGTGTTCGAAAGTGCGTTTTTGCTGGATTGAAACAAATTCTAGTGCAAAACCAACAAAAATCGACTACAATCACCTTGAACGAACATTTTTCTTGTTTGTTGTACACGAGTGAAATTTAAAAGTAGTGTCATGTTTATATTCATTGTAAAGTAGGTACGGTTGCAATCCATATAACAGTGAACACGCTTTCGTGTCCACAGCCGCGTATTTCCAGCGCCTTGCATTACGCGACAGCTGCCGTGGCTTGCGCACCTTGCGAATCAAATGCGGCGAAAAACGCGATAAGGTGCGCAAGCCACAACAAAAGCTGATCCATGGGAGTGATGGCACCATGCGCGTCAGTCGCCTGTTGATATTAACATCTATTGTGATTGTACCTCTTGACGGTCGTAACCCATCTTTACTTCGCGCGTGAAGGTCAGGTAAGAAAGGAACCTTATCTACGCCTCTTGCGCTCATACACCCATGCCAATCATTTTCTCCCAACGTGTTGTCTAAGGCAAGGCTATCAAAACTATATATGTTTTATTTCTTTTTCGTAGAATCAGGTGTGATGTTTGCTTGTCTTGGACACAAAAATTGTGTACGTTTTCTGTTTGTTTGTTTTTAAAGGGGAGGGGGATTGTAATTTTAAGAACAGTCCCTTTTTGTCCTTTTCATGGTGGTGACCAGTATGTTAGTAGTTCTTTTTTTTTTGTGCTCTTGCCCTTGGAAACATTAGAAAGTTGAGTTCAGTAAAGGGTTGCAGTGCTCCAGTGCAAAAGTTTCCGTTGTATAATTTTTATTGTAAGCGAAATTATACTTGTGAAAAGGGGTTTTGGTGTCTCGCTTTATGTTTTTTGTTGAGTATCGCCACCTATTTAAGGGCCTGTCGTGCACAATAACATTCCACTTTGTTCCAAAATGCTCTGTTTGTTTCGTCCTGTAGAAAAACCCAAGTCTATGGCGAAAGCAACTAGTACAAATAACCTTCATCAGCTTAGTTGCAATTTAATTTTTTATTTATTATTATTTACATACTGAGTACACATAGCAAAAGTGAGCTATATAAAAAATAAAGACGTTGGTTCGTTCAAAAGCAAATCACGCATTCAACCTATGTTCCGAGATAATAATAATGCTATATGTACGTCTAAAAAGTCGAACGTTAGTCAGCCAGAATGGGCGGCTTGTGTCTTAGGTATTGAACAGAAATTTAATAAGTGCTGTAAAACCCCTAGTCTGTGGTACTTAACATGCATCAGGCAGTAGTGACACACGACCACCCTCCAGTACGATGCTCATCCAGATCGAAACGGGCAGGAGTGGGGTTGAACCCAGGATCCGAGCGAGTTTTGACTCTACGTGCTCCGAGCTGGTGCTCGCTAGCTCACTCTGCTTGCCATATGCATAAAAATATAGTTCTAGACGATTGAAAGCAAGGGCACTGGGCGCCGCCATGTCTCCGCTCGTACAGACAAGCTCGTGGAATTTCAAGCCTGCTAGAGCTATGTTCACGCGCAAGCTGTGCGTTATAACACGCATGGGACCCCAGTTGGGAAGCCCTGCTTGCATTTGTTTATAGGATCTCCTACAAGTAGAGGGGCGGATTTTCGAAAACTCACCCTATGAAAATACGAGCCCAGATGTGGTCCATTGTGCGGCACTAGGCTCTGCGAACGCCTCCAGAGAGCACCGCTTTCCAAAGACTCCCGTCGCAGCAAATATATTCGATAGGAGTGTCTGTAATCTCAGTGACTGCCGTCGTCTCTTCTGTCGTCAGGGTCACTTTCCCTCTCTGCAAGATTCCGTGTATCCTCCCCCTTGACGGTGTACGATATCGTCGAGAGGACGAGTCCAAGTCCGGTTGGGAGAGTTTGAAAGCACGGACATGCAGTGGGCTTGATTTGAACTCGAAAATATATCTTAATACAGAAGCCATGAAAGGCACGCTAATGCGGTATGCGCAGGTGAGTTTTACGGTTAGGGAGATATAATATAGGGGAGTAGTCGTTGCTATAACTCAAATATTAAAACAAAACTGATTTGATAGAGTTTTTAGTTTGCGATAATAAACATATGGTTTCAATTATAAACTTGCCGAGTTTCATTCAAAATCACTAAATTATTAAATTTTAGCAAGACGTAAAGCAGATGTGCAGGGCCCGGGCGTGCTACAGTACCCACTGGTATATCATGCGCAAGGCTGGCCCTGCAAAAACGAGGTAATAAGATTGTCCGCCGCGTTTTCGCGGATATGGTCAGTTTCCAGATACATTCTTGCGTCGTAAAAAACGCGGAGTAAATCACGGCGAAAATCTACTCACAAATTTCATTACTATTAAGATAATAAAAAATTCACGTGGGGCTTTTAGGTCTTTTTTAGAGAATATTCACCTTACAAGAAGTGTTAGGAAAACGTTCACATAATGGGATCCCATAAATTGAGAACACAATCGGGAAAGACATTTTTTTCTTTTTATGAAAATTACATCCTGCTAAAATCATTTTCTGAAATTATTATTTAACCTGATAGTGAGACAAACATACCGACCCTCCCACCTAAATGTATCTCGTAATACTAAAAATAACATAACATTTTCTAAAACATTAAAATATTGAACTCTCTTGCAACCTATGCTTTTGATCAGTCGTAAGACACTCGTACTACAGTTGACACAATTTGCTGAATCGCGAGAGAAAAGCATGACTATTTCTGCGCTTAATCTTAAAATATTCCCGATCATATTTTTAATGCCAGCATTCCTAGTCGGTCAATACGCGCTTTCGTTGTCGTTATCTCGGTTAACATGAAGTCACGGTACACTTACTATTTCTGGTCCGCTATCTCTCTGCATTTAATCCAAAATCAGTGAGTACGCGACTTGAAGGAGGAGATAATCTGGAGTCCATTTTCTGGAGCGCCAATGAGTGTTCCACAAAAACTCAACCTCTCAAGCTAATTGTACGTTATAGGCGAGGTTTTCCGGTAGATCCCGGTGTGTGTATGCTACAAGGTGGGTGATGTGGCCCGCTAGATTTAGCACGGAACGCTTCCTGCTACATTTAGCGGGGAGTTACGGTCTCACGTATCACTTCGACGGCCCGTAAAGATTTTCCCCATTTTAGATTTAGCGGACGAATCCACCGCTAACTATAGCTGGGAACACAACAACGGGAGCTAGGTGACGTCATCTAGTCATTGTGACGTGACATGATAACTGTCCAGACGAAACCTTGCAGGGAAATGGACTCCAGATGGCGTCATGCGATGGGACGTCACAACACATATCCGCCTTAAGAAAACGTTACCGGATTAGCTCTGCAACTTAACTGCTCATTTACGCTGCTTGCACGAGCAGTGCCCCCTCCCCTCTCCCCCCAAGGCCATGCCAGGATTCACCTCCCGGTGCTGATGCAGCGCCGTTTTGGAGTATAGGCAGCTATGGTAACTACATTGCATTTTCTACGTTTGTCTAGAAGCCCACCGTCTAGATGGCGTTTCACTGTACTCTATAGAACGCACAGTTTTGAACTTAAAATATCGATGGTGCTTCAAAAGACGGAAGGCAGACCGAAGGGAGTGAGGGGAGGTGGGGGACGGGTACCCCCTTTTGCCGAAGTATCTCAACTGACCAAATCTAGTAATGTTGCGTCGAGATACCTTGGGATATCGGAGCGAGATGTGACATTAGGGAATTGTAGTAGACCGTTTCCTCAGCCCGCTAAGCGCACGGATAGCGCTCCGTAATCCGCTACAAGACCTTGAACTATGGAGAAAAGGCTGGCGACGCGCATGCGCAGCTGCGGCGTTTTCTTCGGAGATACCGTAGCGGAGGAGAAAAACGATCTACTACAACTCCCTAGTATGTCTCATGAAGTCACGGTTTCGCTGCTATATTTAGGAGGGAAGCTGTGATACCGCGTAACAATGTAATATTTTCACCAGTCGCCAAATTTCGAGCGCTTGCGAAGAATTCTTGGCTGATGTGTGCACGCACAAAGTGTGCGGCGCTTCGACTGAAGTTAACTTGGGGAACAAGGGCAGGCGAATTGGCTATGTGTTTGTACCGCGTTGCAAAGCTGCCATGTACAACTTCAAATCGGCGGTCGTGTAAAATGGTTTCCAATCGGAGCGTCAGATCTCCGTAGTCAGCGGATAAACAAACCGTTTTTCTTTTTTTTTTTTTTTTATGGCGGCTTAGGGGAGACACGTTTTTGCGAGTAAGCCTACAACCCAGATAAATTCCCGCATTACGCGAACTTTTATCTAGGGTGCCTTCTTAGCCATCCCAAGCGCTCATGCACCTTGAAAAGTAAGGGGATCATGATCATAACTTTTGTTCGCCTTTGAAGGAGAGCTAGTTCAAATTAGTTTTTTTCGAAAACGCTTACCCTCTCCCTCTAGGGAATTTCACAAATTGTTCATCAATGGATCTTGTGTATGTTGTTTTTTTTCTGAATGGCAACAGAGAGGCCCCCCAAGTCCCATGCAATCGCAGGCAAACACTTTGTTGGTTTCTTCCGTAAGTAGAGGCGTATTTAGCACCCGGTCGCAAAGTTTCGGGAGTGCAAGATTGCCATTCCATTTGGCGCTGCGCCCCATTCTTTTGGCAAAGTCGTGGTTCATGATGCTCTAGACGTGCCCCAATTGTTGCCGAGTTCTTGAGCCATATTGGTTAAGGAGTTTTTCAATTACGTTGATGTCACAACAACAAACAATACGTCAGATCCACGACTCCGCGAACGTTTTGTTTGGACGCTTGCTATCAGGCATCTGTCTGCCATGTTCGGAAACAGCTGATGGACACTCCTAGCTTTGGAACAACATTCGAAATGCGTTTTTTACAACAGGAAATATTTATTTATATGCCATTATTAACTTCTTTGGTTGCAAGTATACTATAAACTAGATGCTACGCTACTGTGGAGCTCGAACAAGATTGTCTCCCGTTGCTCCGCTACAAAACAGAAAAGATCCTCACGATGAGCATATGAAAAGAGGGAAAAAAACGACGGATCTGATGAAGGGAGATAGAGACAGAGTGCTTGCCCAAGCTTCAACTTTACTACTCCGGTTGCTGGAGAAACGAACGCTCGTGTAGGGAGTAGGAAGGTCCGGTGTACCATAGGTATGCCAAGGGGACAGCGTACGTACTTCCGCGTTTGCACTTCACACCTCTCAAAAGACTGAAAGATGCCAATCTCGCCACGTCCTTACAGTGTCAAAGAGGGCGGTTCTCCTCTGAGTGGCCTTCCTTGGACCCTTGCTCCTACCGTTACGTCACTTTTGTTTCTAATTTTTTTAACGTCGAACGTAGCTATCCTGGAAAAAAAATAGTTTAACGTGCCTTTCTTTTTGGGGCAAGTCGGCACGCAAGATAAAAAAAAAAGAACTGTTAAGCGCGAACAGAAACGGAAACTGGAGGACACGGAAAGGGGAAACTTGTTAGCGTTTCGCCGTCTCTTCATGTCCGCCTTCATTTGCTCTTACAAGTTTCCTGATCCTCGATGGTTTTATTGCATTATCACTGCGCAACCAATGAGTTGTATTAATCGAGCGACAGGGATACCAGAGAACACAGCACGAAGCAAGATGCGTTAAATACTAAGTCATGCCCTGAGCTTTCTTAGCTGCAGGCAAATAATTGAAGCAGGTATGGTAAAAACTAGTATAATTCAGAGTTACACTTATCTATTGACTGAGAAACCTTACACTCATTTCAATTTCGGTTTAGGGCGAGTTATACAGTTGTGTATTGAAGCAGTCGTTACCAGGTTTAAAAATTGATTACTGTAACAATTGAAGTGAAGAATGTAGGGCTGCGTCCAATTTGCAGTCACTCAGACGCAAAATCAGGGTAGGGCACTTCCTTCAGCGTACAGTTCAGGATTGGGGCAACCTTATTTGTCATGACGTCAGCGATGGTGATCTTGACCGCTTGAATGGCCGCCGTTGCGATGTACTTTTGAAAGGCCAAGCCTGCACTCAGCTTGGACACATTTACCCCGGTGAATTCTTTGGTCTCGAAAAGCTCCACAGTAGGCTGTTCGCCCTGGTTAGCAGGAGCTGCGCACAACCACGAAATTTAATTGGTTTGCGTAGTTCATACGATAGAGGATAAGGTGATTGAGCACATTGGGAATTTCTCGCATACTTCGCTCTACTAAAAGTCAAAGAAGAGTCAAAGCTTACAGACAATCTGGCAAAAACGCACAAACTAAAAGTACATGAATCGTTTAGCCAGTGACAACTCACGCATAAAGAAGTGAACCTCTGGGTTTCGACAAATTAGGCGTTACTCGATTTGGTCCATCAGCTTTTTAGCTGCGTTCTGACTTAAAGTGTAAGGTCTTAAGGTGAAAGTGATCTTTATATGCCTGTGTTTGTGTCTGCATCTCTTCGAGTCTTCGACTGCTCTCTGACATATGATAAAGCAATGTATAGTGCTACTATTATTGACAGCCCAGCCACGTCATTATTATGACCATTGACGTCACAAGCCGGCGAAAGAAGCGCTAGGGCTTGTTCTGGTCGTGGGTGAGAAAAACGGGCATCATATCGCTGCTCGAGCACACTGCGCAAGCTGTCACAAGTATATGACCATCTAAGCAGGTATTAACTGAGGAAGAGGAGAAGCAGAATTCGGGACGGGAAGTCTAAGTGCAGAGCTCTCACTGGAATGATTAGCGGGTAGGCGGAAAGCTTATCTTTATCCCTACTCAGTGTTCGAAACCGTTCGAACGTCGAACGCCGACGTCCGGCCTTTGCGTTCGAACGCGTTCGAACACTGC